ATATTCCTCCCCCACCCAACCGTGCACATAACCATGCAACATGTGTGACTTAAAGAGAGATCGCCTTTTAGGGGAAAAACCGCCGTCCATGGTGGTGACTTCCAGGAGCGTGAGGGAGAAGCCCGGGGACAGAATGAATCGTCAATTTCTCGCGGTACCTACAAATTTTCCAATAAGGCAGTTCGTTTTCCGCTATATATATATATATATATGAACCGATCGCATACATATATATCTACCTAAACAAATATATATATATAAATATTATATGTATATCTCTGCGTATGCGTGTGCATGTGTGTGTACGTCATCTGCCGACCGGTCGCGACATCCGCCAACGCGATTATCTCTCGCGATAGTGAAAACCGAAAACCCCGACGAATCGGCAGAGTCGCCGGAGCTTTTTCATTTTCCCTAGGCGCCGGTTTTTCCTCGGATTCAATTCGCCATCGGACTTTTTCGGCCGGCCTAACGACGCCCGAAAACGAGCGAACGATTGCCAAAAGAGACACGTGGCCGCCCACGTGGCGCGCACGCCGGTGATTTTCACAAAATTTTCGTTCTTCTGTCAGCTTCCTGGTGTACGTGCCGGACTTCTTTTGCCCTCGCGGCTCGTGATTTGAATTTTGGTAACGCGGTCGCTATCCACTGTTTTAAGGTAGCTCGGTCTTTTTCGTTCTCCGATCGTACGTTTGAAATTACTGGAGTCGTTTGTCTCTTCTTTTCGCGGAATTGCGGCAACCGTTTGAAGCTTTTGAGATCGGCTCGGACGAGATATGTTGATCACGTGATGCGATCGGTCGGCAGAGCTGTAACAGATTTTATTTGTTCTACTTTGGACGGCTACGAATCGTGCACAGGTATACCATATCGTTTACACCTCACTCACGCCACGTACACGTATCGCTCACCAGATACTCCCGGCATTCCCACAATTCCTCGATGTTCGTCTCGAAGATACGTAAACGCCCACGCACTGGGCGACGCGCGTGTTCCGGCGGAGGTTCTCCCGCGGCCGATTCCGCAACATTCTACCCCGTGACCCCGGATTCTCGCACGCTTGTTCTTTTATCATCGATCCCCCGAACGGAGATATATCGATCGTTCTTACGCGACGCGTGCAACCCGCGAGCGTGCAGAATTCCAATTTTCCGACCACGGTGAAACTAGCCCCCAAAGAATCGTGGAGCTTCGAGCTCACGGTACGAACAATAGAAAATCTCGGGCGGTCGCTTAAGAATTCTGGCACGCTTGTTCTTCAGCCCTTAACTTCCGAAGTCGATTTTGATGTACATTTACGCAGCAATAATTTATCTTGCACAGTAATTCGAAGATGCTGAGTCGTTTTAGAGAGAAATTCATGGAGTCTGCGAACAGTCTGATTTTCACGGACCATTGTGCAAAATGCAAACTCGATGCATCTATTGCAAGAAGCAGCAAAGCAATTCATACTTATTTCAACTATCAGCTGTCTGAATAAAGTGTCCTAATATCTTGCAAATGCATGTAAATCCAGAGTCTATTAACCTCTTAACGCCCAAATATTTTCTTCTATACGTGTCGATCCAGGATAATTAATTAATTATTACAATGTTGTCACTTGTTTGTCAATAGAAAATTGACATCATCCGATTCTCTTGTGCGTGCATACAAAATAAATCATAGTTTCGAATTTAATCAAGTTTATACGATTTGAAACTGTTCTTTATTAACACTAAACCTACCGCGGTCAAAATAACCGTTCTCTTATTTTGCAATTCTGCAAACTGTAGACTTTTTCATGAAAAATGCTTAAATAAATTACATTATTGGAGCAAGTTTTATAATAAAAACTTTACAAAATCTAAATANGGCCGCCCACGTGGCGCGCACGCCGGTGATTTTCACAAAATTTTCGTTCTTCTGTCAGCTTCCTGGTGTACGTGCCGGACTTCTTTTGCCCTCGCGGCTCGTGATTTGAATTTTGGTAACGCGGTCGCTATCCACTGTTTTAAGGTAGCTCGGTCTTTTTCGTTCTCCGATCGTACGTTTGAAATTACTGGAGTCGTTTGTCTCTTCTTTTCGCGGAATTGCGGCAACCGTTTGAAGCTTTTGAGATCGGCTCGGACGAGATATGTTGATCACGTGATGCGATCGGTCGGCAGAGCTGTAACAGATTTTATTTGTTCTACTTTGGACGGCTACGAATCGTGCACAGGTATACCATATCGTTTACACCTCACTCACGCCACGTACACGTATCGCTCACCAGATACTCCCGGCATTCCCACAATTCCTCGATGTTCGTCTCGAAGATACGTAAACGCCCACGCACTGGGCGACGCGCGTGTTCCGGCGGAGGTTCTCCCGCGGCCGATTCCGCAACATTCTACCCCGTGACCCCGGATTCTCGCACGCTTGTTCTTTTATCATCGATCCCCCGAACGGAGATATATCGATCGTTCTTACGCGACGCGTGCAACCCGCGAGCGTGCAGAATTCCAATTTTCCGACCACGGTGAAACTAGCCCCCAAAGAATCGTGGAGCTTCGAGCTCACGGTACGAACAATAGAAAATCTCGGGCGGTCGCTTAAGAATTCTGGCACGCTTGTTCTTCAGCCCTTAACTTCCGAAGTCGATTTTGATGTACATTTACGCAGCAATAATTTATCTTGCACAGTAATTCGAAGATGCTGAGTCGTTTTAGAGAGAAATTCATGGAGTCTGCGAACAGTCTGATTTTCACGGACCATTGTGCAAAATGCAAACTCGATGCATCTATTGCAAGAAGCAGCAAAGCAATTCATACTTATTTCAACTATCAGCTGTCTGAATAAAGTGTCCTAATATCTTGCAAATGCATGTAAATCCAGAGTCTATTAACCTCTTAACGCCCAAATATTTTCTTCTATACGTGTCGATCCAGGATAATTAATTAATTATTACAATGTTGTCACTTGTTTGTCAATAGAAAATTGACATCATCCGATTCTCTTGTGCGTGCATACAAAATAAATCATAGTTTCGAATTTAATCAAGTTTATACGATTTGAAACTGTTCTTTATTAACACTAAACCTACCGCGGTCAAAATAACCGTTCTCTTATTTTGCAATTCTGCAAACTGTAGACTTTTTCATGAAAAATGCTTAAATAAATTACATTATTGGAGCAAGTTTTATAATAAAAACTTTACAAAATCTAAATAAATTCGATCTTCTCACTCGTATGAAGCAATGCACTCCAGGTACTATTGCCGCTTGGTAGGTCTAATGTTAATTTAGTATGTCGGTGATAAACGCGGACATGGGCGTCGAGGGTTTAAGAATTGCAAACAACAAGCTTGATGATAAATGAACATCGAACAGAAGAAATCAAATTTTATGCAAATTTTAGGCTGCCTTTACACCTGAATCTAATTCTTGCAAGTAAACGATCCACCGCTTGGACAGCTAAGGGTTGAACGCACGCGATTCAAAAATGTCACAGAATATCTTTTTGTTGAACCGTGTTCAAAACACGCGGGTAGATCGCAAGCGTGCAGAATTCCGATTTTCGTTCCCCGAAAGAATGGCGGGCGTAGTCTCGTGGCCCCGATGGGGCCTGGGAAATCTCGGGCGGTCGTCTTTCGAGAGGTGGCATCGCTATTGTGCACGCACACATACGTACACACACATACAATACACACACAGCCCTGGCACATCGACGCGAGTATGTTCTACCCGGTGGTTCAGCGTTCTGGCAGCCGTGTTACGGTGGTCCTGGTTCGCTCGAGCACCGTTCCTCACACTTTTCCCACGAGGGGCGAGCCTGCACCGCTGTCTTAGCCCGTTTTTTTTTCGGCGGGGATGCCGCAGTGCACTCGGTGCACGTGCAGTCGGTCGCGAAAGCCTCCCACGACCCTGAATTTCATATGTTCCAAGAGAAGCACTCCGAGTTTTGAACGTTTCATGAACACTGACCCGTTTGCTGGATCACATTAGACGGATTCTGGAAGAATGACGTTTCTGTGTTTGTTTGCGCAAGTGCGTGGCTGGAGCTGAGCCAGAAATGTCGGACAGTCTGTAAGCGGATATTTTGAATATATCGAAATAAATGAAACAACATATTGCTTCAGTGATGTCGGTGATAACAATTTTGAATTTACAGAGAGAGAGAGAGTGAGAGAGAGAGAGAGAGTCGGAAAAAGCGTAGACAGAAATGTATGAATTTTAATACACTAATCGTAACGGTCTAATCCTGCGGAAATGTATAAAAGGAGCATAGTAAATGTTGTTCAGAAATCGTAGACAGAAACGTAAATTTAACATCCGCGAATAGTTATGTTATATCAAAGCATGTAAAATGTTCTATTAGAAGAGCGATGCTGACGACAATCGAATTCTGTGTGAATGCACAAATGGGACATAGTAAATTCGCACACTTTTCGTTCCTCGATCTATCAACAGAAACATCATCCAATCATTTCTTCCGAATACGTCTAATCATCCAAGTCTCGCAGCGTGCATAAAACGTGCAAAATATTCCCCTGAAACATTTCGAATCGATCAGATGCAGACTTTAGCGACCGACAACGCACTTTTAGGAACGTCAGGGTTCAGGTGCGTAAACGTAAAACGGTGACGCTAGGAATCTAGACGCTGAGCAATCGTTGATGAGGAAGCGAGTCTCTGAATCTCGGTAGAACGGATCTATCAGGTCGGAAATCTCGCGACAATCGTTATCGAACGAGGATGCGGGCGTAGCTATGAGAGAAGAGTGTCGGAACGTAATCGCGAGCGGGAGGTGAACTGTCCTAGAACCATAGCCGGTTTAAGGTTGCCGAGAGGTCTGCTATTTAGCTAGCTTAGGTGAGAGAGTGAGAGGGAGAGAGAGAAAGAGAAAGAGAGAGAAAGAAAGAGAGAGAGAGAGAGAGAGAGAGAGAGAGAGAGAAATAGGAAACAGGAAACGAGAGAAAACAGGAAACGGAACCGAAGCGAAACAAAAGAGAAACGAGAGAAACGTTTTTGGATCTACTGTAGGGAAGGGGTACTACCACCATACGGGAGGTCCGATGTCAATGTCCGGCGTTGGACGTAGGCACAACGGACCCCACAACGGGCACCACAACACGGGCGCGATGACCATCGAATATAATGGTCATCATCCACCGCGAGAGCCGCGAAAAGAGGAGAGCATGCTCGTCAGACGGAGTTTCCGAAGGAGCGGCGACGAGTGGCGCGGCGACAGTAGGAGGTGCGTGTCCATAATTGGCGAGAAACTCGTGTTGTCTTTTCAGTTCGTTCCTCACTCAATCACTTGTCTCGTCTCACGGGTCAGGACATCTCGTTGTCCCGCGTCTCTTTCTTTTCCCGCGCGTTTCCTCCGCGCGTTTCGCGTCGGCCGTGTCCCGGGATTGCCGGTCCCCCGGCGACGCCCAGGATCGATGCTGGATCGCTCCGATCGCCTTGCCTCTTCTTCGCGCGCGATCCTCTCCTCGATCGAGGGACAAGCGACGGCGACGACGACAACGACGACGGACGTTTCCGCTGATGCGGTCTCGCCGGTTCGCTGGCAACCTCGGGATCGAAATCGGCGACGATCTCCTCCGTCGCGACGCGAAACCAACGAGGAGGCGGACGTGTTCGGCTGGACGATCAAGGATAACGGCGGCCGTAGACATACCACAGAACATCTACTCTCTGCTCGAGGACACGCGCGCGTTCATAAACTCGCGCGCGCGCACACACATACACACACATACACACGCAATATACACGCGCACACACACGCATATACAAACATATAGAGTAGCTCGTCCCGTATCTCTGTGTATGTGGCGTGTCCACCAGGTTCACGGAGAGGAGGGGGAAAAAGACAGTGCGATTTGACGGTGGGACCAATGTCGGCGGCCCTCACGAGGAGTGGTCCTGGGAGGCCGATCGACAGGGTAGCCAAGACAGCGCGACCAAAGACTCCGGGATAGACACCTCTAGCACCTTCACGAGCAGTGAAGACAGCAACAGGGGCGACCTGCCCAAGGTACGCGACCGTCGATGTTTGTTTTGGGAGCCGGTCGTGTGCTAAACCGGTCGCACACGCAATTAAAAGGGGTAGAGGGTTTTGTTTCGGTGCCAGGCCAGGCAGTCGCTTCGATTAGAGTGCCTAGGAGGAACAGACACGGTGTGGATCGAGTAAAAGGGGTCTCTGCGATTGTTCGCCTACGAGATGATCGATCTCTGTGATATTTATTATGACTGTATATGTATATGGATACGACACGCTTTTCTTTGTCACGCTTGCACTCTCTGTTCGCGTCGCGCGGCCGAATTTTTCAGGCGCTAAACCGTGGCGGATCTCTGTCGTCCAAAGTGGAATACTACGGTTTATACTCTTCCTCGTTCCTTGCTTACTCACATAGAACTTTAGCGGAGAGAAAGTGAGAGAGAAAGAGAGAGCGAGAGAGAGAGAAAGAGAAAGAAAGAGAGAAAGCGAGAGAAAGAGAGATACATACGTATACAACGAGGACTATCCTTGGCCTTGTTAGTGCCTGATGGTTTGTGCAACCTAGAGTAGTGTTTCTTTAGCAACTTTTCGACTCGACCCTTTCGTTGCCTTGCCACAATCCTGGAGCTCTCGTACCCTTTCAGTTCCCCGACTTCGGAGTTCATCGATCGACTCGATCGGTTTTTACGAATTGCCCGTCCCCGGTTTAGACGCGGTAGAGTCTAGCAGCGAGGTCTGTCGGGTCTGTCGGAGCAGCAACGAAAGGGTTAGCACGCACCTCGACGCGCGTCGAATGCCAGGTGAGCCGAAGTTTCAGGGAGGCCTGTCTCTTTGTCGCTAGCGACACGTCGACCCCGTGACCAAGATACCTCTTTTGCTCGATTTACCCGCGAACTTTGTGCTTCGAAGCTTTCCTGCTCGGACGTGTCCTTCGTCCAGTTTCTCGCGGACGACTCGAGGTTCCCGCGGTCTCGTTGCGTTTTGTGCTGTTGTTGTTGTTGATTGTTTTGTACCGTTGCTCCGCCGCGCCGCGCCGCGCCGCCTCGGGAACGCGGCGCCCCTGGCCCACCGAATAGATGATCGCACCTTCGCATGAGTCTTGAGTCTTGTCTCTCACCATCCGACAGGGTCCCGGGGCTTTGCGCCGCGACCTTGGACACCATAGAACTTTAGCAGGCCACCATCGCTTTCTTCACGGTTATCACCTTCTCTCTCTGTCACTCGTTTTCATCACCGTTCGACCGGCTACCCAGCGACTTGGACCCGCGATCGATCGTTCATCAAATCCTCGCACTCAAGTACCGGAATTCTCTCTTCATTCAGAGTCTCATCCGTCGAGGACTGTCGATCCTCGGGCTCTCGCGTCTTTGGGGCTAGCTCTAGCTTGGTAAAACAAACTGGCGCCGCGGCAGGGCGGATGTTCGCACACGACTCTCTCATCATCCCCCTCACCACTCACATCACCACTGTTCATTCACCACACGATACATCTCGCGCCGGCCGACCCGGGACAATGTATCGTTCCGCGTTATTAAACCAAAAACGGGGGCTGCAATCGCGCGCGTTTAATCAAGCTTTGACGGGACGCTCACTTGACCGGCCGGTGTCGGCCAAACGACAAATTCCGAAACGATATTTCCGGCCGGAATTGCGAGCGGACCAGCGCTAATTGGGAATGTATTTCTTCCGCGGCGCGACTATTACTTCCCGTGAAGCGGACGAATGGCGGGGACGCGCGTTCCACAACCTCCTCCGAAGCGGAAGCACCGAAGAGATTTATCGCCGAGGCCGATAAATATTACACTTTCGCTGCCTTTGTCTGGTAGAACGCCGGCCAAAACGACCGTGTTCAAAGTATTCTGCTTCTCTTCGGGATCTTTGCGAATCCTAGAAACGCTTGGCTGGAAAAGTGTGAGGTTGAAAGTGTGAGCAATGTTTTGTAAGCTTTCTAAAACGATACCGTGTCTGATTTTGCTTCACGATTTGATCGTCGAACCATTTGTAACAATGTGAAAATTGTCTGCGTCAGTTGCGAAACATGTAACTTTATTGTTTGCGGAATCGTTTCAGTAACATCGATTTTCTCGAGGTCTCATAATTCTTTCACCGCCGCAGTCTCTACCAAAAACGCATAAATGCGGAAGAACTGCTTCTTTCACGTATCTCCGCAACCATTCTGCGAGAATTCACATTGATCCAAATGATTCAAGCAGAGCTGCTAAACGGCAAAGTTTCGACGAATCGTTCACAAATAACAGAAATTTTTGGCACCACTCCTCCGAGATCCATATCAACTCTCTCATTGGACTCAACACAAACAGCGAGCGATTCGAACTCGCTGCCAAATAAGTAGAATTTCGAGGAAACCTTTACAAACGTAAATCGATCGTGATATCGTGCAGAGAAGTACAAGCGGGGAAAATTAATTTCTAGAGTTACAAATCGCGGGTGCTCGCAGAAGGACGGGACAAATGAGTTTAAAGGCGACCGCGCTCTACCAATGGAGGCAGAGTCGAAAAATCACGGTGAACAGTCGGCGACCCGTCGCGTCGGCGGTTTCGTAACCGAGGAACATTCATGATCATCGCGTGAAAACGGAGCCCGTTGGCGTACGGCCGGCATCATCGGTCGTCATTGTTCTTCCGGTCGGGCAGCCTCCATTCGGACGTCAGTTTTCCGATAGCCTCCTCGGCCCCGGGTATATTTGTCAATTTGCTGGCGTCGGAATGGCCGATGCCCGGCCACCGTTCGATTATCCGTTATTGTTATTATACGACCTCGTAAATCGGTTTCGAATTTCGATCCGCGGCCGCGCCCGGCCCATTCTTTCGCGAGCCCTTCTCGTTCCGGGCTGTGAAACCGCTCGAACGGAACCGGGACAGTTATCCGCGTTCTACGGAATCGCCTAATCGACGGACGAACGGGTCCTAATCGTTCGTTCCTGGCTAACGAGTTCTGCGGACTTAATTAAGTGGATCTTGAGGAGCGATTCGCTCCTCGTAGGCGACGCCATTTTTACGCTTTCGAATTACGAGCTAGCGACAGTTTGAAGTGTTTCTTTTTTCTCTGTACAGTTTAAAATTCGGTCATTCGTCTAGGATAGAGAGGCCTTAATTTCTTGAAAGATAACAGTTCGTTATTTTACATGCGAGTTTTGCACATTAAATGATAATTTTATGGATTGAGCGTTCAATTCTACATAAACCCGTTGCCGTATAATTTTCTTCGGACAATGATTAGAACTTTTCCGATTTTAACCCTCATCCGTCTCTCATTTGTATGACATAATATGTCCCTTGATATTAAATTGTCTCAATGGTAAAAAAATATGCAAGATGGAGCATTAAATAATTCACTCATGAATTCCTTTTTTAACGTAGATTTGTTGCCAGAACTAATGAAACGATATATAGAACAGATTATTTCTTCAGTGCCGGATGAGGGTTAATAATTTCATAGAAGAAAAAGAAAATTTATATTTATTGTGTGCCTATATTTATTTGAATGCTTAAATATTGATAACCAGAGAACAGAAACTTATTCCGGACTTAAAAAATTGGAATAGTATCCATATTTAACAATCACGAGTCAAACTCGTCGCAATACGGCAAAGGGTGAACATAACATAAACCTATAAGAATTAATTAATTTAAACTCTTTACCATTTCTGTTACAATGTACGCTTTGAATTAAGAAATTGATCGAATCATTTCCTGCGAAACAATCTTTATAATGTCAACGATTACCAAACGAACAACGTGGAATCGACTGTTTTAGCCGACACGGTGAGCTCACCGTTGAATGTTTACCGTGCGCATTCGAACGTTGACAAGGTCATGAAAATCATAAAGCAACGAGCCGCGATGCTTCACATTTTCAGCGGGCTACAGGAAAACCTGTACTCGAGAAAACGCGTTTCGGTAGCGCAACAGCGATTGACACGAAACGAATAAGCGTAAAAAGCGGTTCGAGATTGCGCCTGAAAGAACGAAGGAGAACGATACTCGAGCTTCTGTCGGAGCTTTCGATAGCGCAGAATACTCGGTGCCGCGGAACGTCCCAGCGGAGTGCTGTCGTGAAAATTCATGGCCCTCCTCCGCAGTCAATGGTCGTTATTTCCGGTTTCGAAAGATCTGTGAGACTCTTTAGCCTCAACTTGGACAATAAAACCCGTCGAAAAGTTTACGAGCCCGGCGACGGCTTCGGCGTTCGAGTTCACGCTGGACACTCTGCATTTTATCCGTAGGAGTTCATACCTCCTCGCCTTTGCCTCTCCCGTCTCCCACCTGCTCCTCTTTTTCTTCCTACTCTCCTCCTCTATCTCTCGCTCTCCGCGGCGAAACTTTTAATTACACAATTTTTCTCGGGGAGCAGGATCGCGCGGGGCCGGGGCTAATACAAACGGAAGACGACTTCGGCGCGCTTTGCCGGGTATAACGCTCTCCGGGAGCGTTCGCGCGAGGAAACTCGGTCTGTAACTCGATCGGTACCGGTGACCGAGTTTCCGAGAGTCCCTTGCCGAGGCTGAAAATATCTCTCGATCGTTCTCCTTTAGTTTCTAGAATTACCTTGCGTCTTGATCCTCGCCGGAGATCGTTTTCCCGCAACAGGAACGAACGATTTGCCTGAGCGGCTCTCTCGAAATCGCGTGCACTCGCGTGTATCCACGGATCATCGTTCGATAAATGGCAGGAAGACAGGAAGCTCTGTGGGGTGGCGTACGAAGGGAGCCTCTGGGCGGTCGGGTGGGTGGTTTCCAGAGGCGGGACGGACGGGGAGCAGGCAGCCAGGCAGCTAGGCAGGCCGTGTTCCAATTATGCGAGGCAAATAAGCAAGATTAAATTCGGTCCGAGTAAACGGACGGCAATCGAGCAATTTATCTGCCGGCGGATCGTCTTATGTACTCCTCCGACGAAATCAAGATCGACCCCTCTTCCGGGGGCGAGGCGGGGGCGGCCGGTCTGCGATTAACCGTAATTTTCTTTCCGCCCGGACGAACAAGCAGACGGAGAGAGAGAGAGAGAGAGAGAGAGAGAGAGAGAGAGAACGAAAAAAGAAAAGAAAGGGACGGAATGATTCAGCGGGAAAGTTTTCCATTGACGGACGATCAGTCAAGGGGAGCTGAAATTCGCCGCAACGATCGAGAATAATGAACACGCGATCCCAGGAAATTGAACCATGTATTCTTTCGGTCACGCGTGCGCGATCTACGGTGTCGAACGGACGGCCTTATGTCGGAGTAATTATGCGCTATGACGGTAGAATGTCGGGAACCTTTGCTGCATTGTTTCCGGCGGTCGATTGACAAAGAAACGACGGAAGGAAGGGAGTTCTTTGAGCGCCGCCTTTGGAAGTTTATTTGCATTATTCATCGGACATCTACTGGTTTATTGCTGCCACTTAGCTATGTAATTATTGTCCTCAGACGCGCGATGAAGCGGATGTAACGACAGCTTCAGAATATACATAGGTTTTCAAATACACATTGAATGTTTTCAGATACTTTATCATTTTCTTCAAAAAGTGCTTTCACCACCGTTCATATAAATGAATCAATTCTTTTTCTATGAACGTTATTTTTTACCGTAATACGGGCGTACATTAATTGAGATGTTTCTTTTAATTTCAAAGTTCTCTATTTTCTTCATTCCGATGATTTACCCAGATCCGTTTGTATGCGATATAATTTCCAATAAATGCAGTTAAACTAATATCGATTAATACTTTGACTGCCGTACCAGCAATTGCAAAAAGTATTTTATTCAATCAAATTAAAACTGAGAAGTTAAGTTGCACGACTCGCGAATCACTTTTACAACATCCTTACGTTTCGCAGATCCTGATAAAATTAGGGAGATATAATAGTGTCAAAATAGTGTTAAAATTAAGTTTCGAATCCGAGTAAATATTTTCGTCGAAGTGTCAAAATTTAGGTGATTATGATAAGAGAGAAGATTAAACGGGTTGCTGGACTTATTCGATGAGTGTCGGAGTGCCATTTAATTCTCTTGTCGTCGTGCAAGGCGAATCGAGACTGATTTTCACGCGTCCGCGTGACAATTCGCCGGCTCTACGCTACGGGGCGATTCCGTGAACCACTGCCGATCCGAAACGTCCAATTAAAAGGGCCGAAAGGATGCCAGGTAGCCGGGAGAGGCGTACCTGTTTCATAATTAATCGAATTGGAACACGGCCAAAGGATATCCGAAGCGGCGGGGTTCTCGACGACCTCGTTAGCCCCCGTCGATCGGTTTCGCGGTGTCTTTCGATAAATCCGCGACTTCAGCGCCGCCCCGGAAACCAGAAGCGGATGTAATTGGCTGCGCGAGGGAACCGTCTCAAACTAAAACGAGAAGGAATAGGAAAGAACAGCGTTTCGTGGCGAACGATGTCGTGAGCTTGCGCGATACAACCGCGGCGGAGAAACTAGGGAGCCGAAAAATGGGAGGGAATCATGAGTGAAACTCAAGTTTCTCGCCGGAAACATCTGTTCTCCGGCGATTTCAACGAGATTTCTTGCTGAAACTTCGGACATGTATTTAACTTTGTTAAGGAAATATTTAATCACAACTATTTAACATTACCTTACCCCTTGTCTTGGGTTTCGGATGCCTCGTCTATTTTTTTTCTGACCGCAGAACACGCGTTGCAATCATTTTACCGATTTACTCTTATATGCTAAGTATGCGATAATCTGAAGAGATCACTTCAAGATAAGACTACTAAGGATATAAAATCGGCAAGAAATTTAGAAATGTAATGTAATGGAGTCGGTTATCGAGGGATGACCAATTGCTGTGCCCAGTTTGTTTTCGGACATTAACTTTGTATATATCGAATAAGACATATTAAATAAATATTTTCATTACTCTATTCTGTTTGTTTCTGATTTAAAAAATTTAATACGTCGTATTTGATAAATATGAAGTTAAACATGTCCGAAAACAAACTATAGGCACAGCTATTGGTCACCCTACAGTAACCAGCTACACTACCCTACGTCGCATAAAGAAGCACAAATACGTATATGTATACCTATATTAATAAAGCTCCTGGTTAGATTCGTCCAAGTGTTCAAACACCGATGGACGATAGTGTACATAGAGCGTCAAACGAAATCGAATAGTATGTTTTAATCCGAAACCTCGGCATTGACACGTTTGCTATCAGCGTCACACATGTAAAGCAACCACGATTTTGTATCTCGCGTAAACGAAACGAGTTTTGTTGTTTAAAATCGATGGCATGATACTCGCTCAACTTATTCATAAGACAAAGCCTGCTAGCGAACGCGTTAATCCATTTGCATCGTTAACCTATGTCACATTGCGCTTAATTTGTCTCGATTGAAACGTCATCGTGAACAGCTGAAGTCAACCACTTTTAATAATACTGTGCGAAACAATTGACGATCGGATCGTTGCGTTTCACTCATCGTTGCGCTGCAAATGGGTTAATTGCAAGGCAAGGGGTGAACCGGAGCAAATCGGTAAATAAGGACGATTCGGTAGCCCCGGCAGCCAATTGTGTAGATGCTAGCCGATTATATAGTGCGGGGGAGGGACATGTAGCGCCAGAACGCGAGCGAACAGATAGACCATCGGCCAAGATCGTGTTCCACGCAGTTCACACCCGACGAATACCGGTGTATGCCACCGAAACGACCCGCTCAGATCGACCACGATCGACTGGGAAACCGGAAAAAGGAGGCGACCCCTCTCCCTAAAGTAGATCCACCAGATGAACCGAGTCGAGTCGCAGCTCGACAGAGATAAAAAGAAACTTCACTTCCACGGTCTTTTTTTTTTGTCTCTCTAACGCAAGCTAATTGTTGATCACGCGGCTGTCGCATGCCTGAAACCACGGAGACCTCGGACATCGGGCGTTCGATGGGACCTTGATTGCTCGCTTTTACTTGCTCGTTGTACACGTTCGTCGCATGCGGTCGTAGGTGCATGGACTGTGTAGCAGTGTTTCATAATACGTTCGTAGACACGCCGTTTAGAGAGTATCTCTGTAACACACAGCTTTCCCACCCCGTTGTCGTGCTTGATCGTTTTACCATAATTCCACCCAATAGAACTGTTCACGTAGCCATTCACGTAGCGGCGAACGCTTTCCAGGGTGTTCGAACCTGGATTTCCGATCTGCGGGCTCTGTCCTCGATATTCGATTCGGTCGACTGGTTGGCCAGTTTTCCGCGGTGGTGCAGCGGGCCTGGAAATCGTTCGAACACCCTCCGTCACGCTCATCATACCGTCAGGGAAACCATCAACTCTCTTCAGCTCTCTCTCTTCGTCAGAATTCGACGCGAGAAGAGTGTCCTGCGACTGGCCAACAGAGATCAACCGATTGTGCGTACGCAGTTGCTCGCAGCTCTCTTCGTACGATTTTTTAATTGATCGCGTAACCTTCGATTTTTCGAAAAATTCTACTCTTCCGAAGCTGTTTTTTTTTCCTCGAATAAATACAGACTGTTTTCTCCGAAAGCATTGCGGATATCAAACTCGATAATTTTGAGTGGTGAATAGTGCAAAGGGGTTGACATTGACAAGATATTCTGGAGGTGAGTTTCTTGAGGCTAGAACTGGCGATTCGAAAAAATTGTCTCCGGTTTAGCTGATATACTTCTGAGAACAAATGGAGATTAAAGATACAGTATTGTCTCCCTAACTGACGCTCAGATTGTCCACAAAAATGGACAATTTGGGAAGAGAAGATACGATTATTCGAGCCTTGCAGCTCGTTTTTATAGTTGTTGACAATTCGTAACTATAAAAATCAAGCGCAAGATTCAAATAATCGTATCTCCTCTTCCTAAATTGTCCATTTTTGTGGACAATCTGAACGTCACTTAGAGAGACATTACCGTTCTCACTCTTCAGTATATCTCACGCTTTAAAATACCAGCTCCTTTGCACGATTTAGCACTACGAAGTACCAAGATGACGCCTGCAATGCCTTCTGAGAAAACAGCTTCTATCAGCTGCACCCTACAGACATTTGCGAAGAGATAGGCGAGCGAGCGTGCGACTCGGAGGCCAGCGCAGGACACTTTTCCAGGGATGTCAGCTTCGAAGTCATCAATGTCTACTCACGAGCCACATTCCATTGCGATCGATCCTGCTGCGTGCGACGCTCCGAAGCCGATCGTCTTTCGACCGTCTCTCCATTAGAGGCACGCGTCGGTTTCGGAACGTCGACCGTCGTTTACACCGCGTTACTTTGACCACCCTCCACCCGCCCCCCCTTTGTCATCTCACAACGCGACGCTCTGATGTCGAAACGAAAGAAAGACAGAAAGAAAGAGGAAAAAACAAAATCCATTCTCTCCGCGCTTCGTAGCATCCGTTACCCTGGCAAGTGAGCAGAGACGGCCAGAAGATCTTTGGCCATATGGTGTTGCGAAAGCAGCCCGGATCCGGAAGCAGTAATATACTCGGGCTGAAAGTCGTTGGCGGGAAGCTGCTCGACGATGGCTCTATGGGCGCAGTCATCGAGAAGGTCAAGAAGGGTAGCACGGCCGACATAGAAGGTCAACTGAGACCCGGTAAGACGATAAATTTAACTCGACGCCCTTACGAATCACCTTCCGACCCCCGTTACCCTCTCCGGTCTCTGGCTCCTACTTGTGGAGTCGATTTCTGGTTAGAAACCTCCGAAGATTCGTCTACCTTGAACTCCGATGACCTCTCTCTCTTCCCTCGAAGGTTGTTACTCCCTTTGGACATTGTAGATTTAGAAGAAGAATTCATTCGATCAGTCGTTCTACTCGATGTAGTAGGTCTACAGTGGTAATTCGATTAGAAGATTCTTTTTAAGGACAATTATTTTGGATGTTTTTTTAATAACGACATAGAATATAGAATATGGATCTTCGCGTCAGACACAATCTTTATTCAATAATCGACGAAACCGAAAATTCTCAGTGAAAGCGTCTTTCTAATATTTCCATTATCAAGTTAAGTTCCGAATATCAACTCCCGAAATTCCCATATTAACAAAGATATTCAATTAATGAATCTAAAGAGTTACAATTTAACCATGGCTAATATTAGTTTAACTCTTTTGTATTCTAAAAATCCTAACGACATTGAGTTTGTCGCTGGATTTCAAAACCTAGTGTCGCCCATACGTAAACAACGCCGCACTTAACGTATTCGTCGTTAGAAAGAAATTTAGATAATTTCCATTTTATCTGGTAGTCGTAATATTACTAGGCAAAACGATTGACTTACTAAAACGCTCCGTGCGCGCTAACTTACAGATTGATACTCTCTAAAAGACAATTGCTCCTTGAAGAAACCATTGCAACTTGAAGAAACCATTTGCGGTCCCCGTTCAGAACTCGGCGACCCTATGAAACCCAGCTTAATCAGACACCTCCTGTCCCGAAAACCAGCACCATCCCAGCACGTTCTCACAGTCGAGTTTCCACCAGTGCCTCCGAAAGGACACCTACCCTCTAAAAAAGGATACAGTCCTTGCAGCGGTAGCGCTGACCAATTCGGTCGTCTGCAAACAGAGCCGGCTCACCGGTCGCGAGAATCACCGCGTCAGGATTTTCCCAGATCCGCAAAAGCGGGCTAGCCCTTCTAGCCAGCCTCGGAGAGAGGGACACCCCGATTCCGAAGTAAATAAACCCACCCGCACCCCCGGTTCCCCGGCATCCCCCGTTTCACGGTCTCCCGAGGCGATCCAATAGGAACCGACCGGACACTCGACGATTTCAGGTGACGAGGTGATCAAGTGGAGCGGGAGGTCCCTTCAGGGCAAGAGCTTCCAAGAAGTTTACGACATCATCGCGGAGTCGAGGCAGGATCCTCAAGTGGAGCTGGTAGTTTCGCGGAACTTCTCGTTGACGACGGGGCCGACGACGATGCCCCCGGGCCCGACGCAGATCGTGACGCGACGGATGGCCGCGCAGACCCAGTGGCGTCAGAAGCACCCGGAGACGATACCCGGGCCCCAGCAACCGCACCACAAAGGTAACTATGCGCTTCTCGCCTTTTATCATCCTCCTTCGTGTCCCATCTTCGTTCTGTCTTCGTTCTTTTTCGTCCAGGCCGCCCGTTTCGGTTCTCCCTCCTCGCCCGGTTCCCCGTCTCCTCTCCCAAGGACTCGTTCACAGCCGTTCCCTTTCCGTCCCTGTCCTCCATTCTTGGCCCCGTTACCGGCGTTCCAGCCCCGGCCACGTCGGCGGGGATCAAAAGACTGGCTGAAACCGTTTTCCCGGGGAGCGTAAGCGTAAGCGTAACGCCGCGCGACCACAGTACGCCGATCGTAGCGGTGGCCGTAGTCTCTGTGTGCACCACCGCGGAGTTCAGCCGGAACTATACTAGACCGCCCTTAGGACATGCTATGGGAGAGACGTTGCTGTCGAACGAGTATCGTAGTAGTTGCCGACGGGCTTGTCGAACGGTGTCTGTCGTGCCACTTGCTCTAAAGTCCGCGATCGGCGCGCGCGCGCGCGCCCACACCGTTCGACAAGACTGTTACACACAGTTTACCGTGCGGCCCGTAGTGTTGCGTAGAATAGAGAACTTTAGAGCTAATTACCTTGTTCTACAAAGTACACGCCGCGAGACGCGCGTATTCGAGATCGAATATCGATCAGAAGTTACCTAGAGTCGACCGACGTTCTGGTCGATTTCGCCCGCGTAGACTTAAGTAAAGTTAAGCCTACTGAAAGCGACGCTATATTGTCACAGATTATATGCTTTTTCGCATTCCAGGTCTTAAGAAATGTATTCTATGGGGTAGGCCTCAAATTTCTTTAAATCTCAACCCAAAAAGTAATCGATGTTCTCACCACCCTCTCCCTGTTTATTACTGTTCTCTCTCGCGCCGCCCCCCGAACCCTCACGTTTTCTTGTATGATTTTTTTTTGTCGAGAGCCTCGGGAGATGGCGGTAGTGTATCGATCTTAGTCAATGTTGGCGATCGATAGCGATCCAGTAGACGATCCAACGCTGAGAGACGTTACGATTTTGTTATCCCCGCTTTGTGTATACCGTCGATGTTACCATGTAGAGCGTAGAGAGTAGCGCCAATGCACCCCCTTTGCTAAAACACCGCCGTATTACGAGCATAGTATTTATGGGAGCAACAACTTGAGACAAGCGGATACCACGTCTCTGTACTGAACGTTTCTGTTTTCTTCCTGTAACTGCTATTCTATTATGTGTCTTCTCTCGTTATCTTTACTCCCCCGTTCGAAGGACCAAGCACTCGCTCGAATCCCCTACAGTCTGCGCCATTCGGAAAGAAACGACCCCCTCTTCTCTCTTAGACTCTTCCATTATCATCGCGCGTCACCAACCGCGCGTCATCGCGACGCTCGTGCCGAACTATTTACCGGGCATTATCTTGTCGATGATCCTAGAGAAAACATTGCGGCTGCTACGTGCGCGTTTCGTTATCTGCGTTTCGCGAAAACTTAATGGTCCGGACAGTATCTAGTGTCTGCAGATGTTTTGTAGACTTGCGAATGGTATGCATATTCGTGGAGGCAGGCTCAACGAAAGGAAAAACACGGTCGTTAAGAGCGTAAGGGTGAAAAACGGTAGTTGTTTAAGAGTGACAAATATTTACGATGTCGAGTACTTGGAACAAGATCAACAGAAACGAAACTTGCTAGATACAATTTGGAGCCACACGAAGGTGACAGGGTGAAGAGGAGGTAGTTTTCTACGATAACGTCCGTAAACATTCCCGGGCCCAGCTACAATTTTTAGGTACTCGACGACGAGGATTAAAAGAAAGGGGTCGAAAGAAAAAGAGAAGGTCTCTGGAACAATTTAGCGCCACGCAGTGGCGAGGGTGTGAAAGAGGGTAGTTAAATACAATTATACTGTGCGTCCACGAAAAAAAAAGAATGGTCTTCCAAAGGGTTGGTCTCCTGTATAATAGGATTAATAACGTAAGAAGACTGTTAATCCTATTAAAAACAGTGGTAGTTACGCGATACAGTATTACACATTTTTTTTTTACACGGGAACACCAGGCATTCAAGGAACAGGATTAAGAAAAACTGAAGGGACGAAGGAGGGTAGTTAAAGTATAACAAACGCTACGATGCACACTGTATCGACGAGCGTGTGTGCAAAAGGTAGAACGAATATTTCTGATTTAATATTTGCTTTCAATTAAATACTCCGAAGCATACTGTATAATGAATCAGCGTCCTCAGGGTGTAGACGAAGGGATTACCCGGCGCGGGTGCACTCAAGCGTCGTCGCACGAGGCGGCAACCGCGAAGTTTCGAATGCATCTACGTTAATCTAGCTTCATCTACCCGATGCGTCTCTGGAGACCGCGTTATTTCGACTTCGAGCAGCCCGAGAGCACCCCCGCACGTGAATTGTGATATCTCCCGAGGAATGGATGTGTCTACCCGCAAATTCTGCTACACCTTGTGGCGAGGGGAAGTGACGTGTTCCAGGGAATCCTACAGCGATTCGACGGTTACATGGAATCCCATCAATGTCATCGTCGCCTGTACATTAAGTCGAATTCACGCCATTGCTGATTACCCTGGAAAGTTTAGTGCAGTAATCTACAGCGGGGCTTCGCTAATTTCCCGACAATATTGCCACTCAGAAAATCAAGCATTATCGTATGGTACTTTATGCTACGCGTATTTAGGGCCGCCGAACCCTCGAGTCGCTGTTACCATGAAATCATATGGCCAAGACACTTTCACATCCAGAAACAAGATAACCACTCAAAAAATCTCCGACATCCAGGCTAGCGTGTACCCCAGCAAGCTTTTTGGAACCCCGAGAATATTGATCGAAGGCTGTTCGACCCCGTAATTAAGCGAGTTCGTTCGTTTTTTGGAAACGTTGTGTCCCCGATGTGTACCCCTTGCGACGGGATCGTCGTGCACATACCCAACTTTTTCACGTAGACCCTCGCCCACACACCGACACACGCGCCCACATATATACAAACACACAGACACAAACGTCCGAAGACCCGCAGATTACCCAAGAGAGTCTAAAGTCTATACGGCACTGAACGATCACTTGCAGAGTTATACGACGCGAGGCGCGAGAAACCTTCGGTTTTAGTGACCTCGCCCGGCTCGCCGGATCTGCACAGCCAGGGTCGAGCCAGACACCTTAGGCACGCCACCGGGAACGCGAACGTCGGCGGCAGCCTCCAGGTGAAGGTGGGCTTTGATCCTGTCGGGCTCCAGCTGATCGTCACCTTGATCTGCGCCGTCGGGCTCATGCCCAGGAACAACGGACAGCCCAGGAACCCTTACGCCAAGATCTTCCTTCTTCCGGACAAGAGGTGAGTGACCTAACAACAGATTTTCTTTCGTTCTTTCATACGTGGTACGGCGGGCAGACGATTTAGCAATGGAACTGCAGTAATGTCTCTCTAATTGACGCTCAGATTGTCTACAAAAATGGAAAATTTATGTAGAGAAGATACAATTATTCGATCCTTGCGGTTCATTTTTATAGTTACGAATTGCCAACAACTATAAAAACGAACTGCAATGCTCGAATAATCGTATTTCCTCTACCCAAATTGCCCATTTTTGTGCAAAATCTGAGCGTCAGTAAGGGAGACATTACTGTAGGAAGGAACATTCTCTTTCCTGTCATTAATCTATTATCGTTTCCATCATTTTTCTTCTTCCCATCTTTGTTCACTTCCCAAGCTCCGACCGCCGCTGATATCTATGATTTACATTTTTGCGATCACTGTGCGATTTTATTGGAAGTCGGATAATGCTCCTCGTTAGGTGACAGTTGTCCCAAATCGATGATTCCTTGTGACATCATTTCTCATGTTCTTTGAAGACAAATTCTTTTACAATTTCGCATAAGAACGTTATGAAATAATTAAACGATTTTTCACGTCGCTAGGAAAGATCTGAACGATCTCTGACTATTTTGTTTAGTCTGAGAATTTTGTGCCTTCCAACATGAACGGTTAGACAAACAATTAGCTTGATCGTTTTATCATCAGTCTAATGTACCTGTAGGTGATCTCTTATTGTATATTTTACGATCAAAATATCTTCATGGAAGACAGAGAATTCATTATCCCTAAAACGTGAATAACAATTTGCAGAGCTTACTTAATCTTAATGCTTCCCGTTTCAAATTTTCCAACTACAATCAAAGTATACGAGTCAGCTCGCCGAAGCTTTCGTTATAATACGATCTACATAGAGTATGAAACGCAAGTTCCCCAGAACCATTTCCAAGGGTTCCAGTAAATTCCGCAAACCAGTCTCCCCTGTTCTTTAAAAATAAAATCCAGTGACTCACCGCGTAATCGATAACCCGTTCCGCCCACCGGTTTTATGAGCGCCGAGCGCCAAGAATTTCTCGGTGTTTCGTCGCGTCGTATCAATTCGAATCGTCGGAGACGAGCCCCAGACCGTAGACGCGACGAAAACGGAAGCTCGCGTCGCGCGACTACGCTTTCTTTCACATAGACACACACGTTAGCCGCTCGTAAGAGATATCCCGACCGCGACGATGTCGAAGTTAAACCTGTCTTCCCTTAAGATTAATCATTTCCCGAAGAGCAGTTCGCGAGCCAAGAGATAGCCGTCGAGTTTGGCCAGGCTGCCAACAATCTCGTCGCTGGCTCCTGGTTTTATTTGCCGTCGCCCTCCTCTCCCTGACGAATACTCTCCGCTTAATGGTCGGCATCGATCGCGAACGGCTATCGTTGCATTCGCGACGCTAAGGAGGCAGCTCCGTTCCACCGTCTTCGAAAAATCAATTTTTTCTCCTTCAAACTCTACGCATCGCGTAGTTTCGGGCTTAACTCCGGTGCGCGTTCGCGATTGATTTTTCTGATCATTAAAATCAAGCGAAGACAACGTATCACAGTAGACATTCGCGGGTTCAAGCTTAAATCGGAAATGACCGTAGTTGATTTCCATAGTAATTTTGATAAGATAATGTGTTAACGTTACAGTGTTCGCGAATTCTGATGCCTCCACTTTTTGGAAAATATCTGCATCAACTGCAAGGAAAAATTTGAAATTCTGTCAATTTGACTGCAGTCTTAAAATACACCAACTCGTTCCGTCACGAATGTACAAAATCCACATTTTAACCACAAATGCATAAAATCAGCAGCTATACTGCGGATATTTATGCAAAATACATTTTCCAAGACGATTGCAAGAAACAGAAGTGAAATAAGATAAATTGTTTCTTTCTGTTTTATAAATCTAAAATATAGTATTATAAAAATTATTATATTATGGTATTATAAAAATTCTTCTTATATCTTCATAATTTTCTATTTCGCCTGCTTATTTTTACCGTGAACGCATAAAATCCATAATCTACCTATCACAGTATTCTACACACACACACGTACACACATACATACAGAAATTGCAAACGAGAGGCCGAAAGAGTTCTTGTTTGCTTACCCCTTTAACCCATTTGCATCTCGAAGCAGAATGTTCCAAGTTGATATCTCCCTATTGATTACCGATTGCCCCGATGCAAATGGATTAATATGCGCCGAATGTTTGGAGATAGCTAACGTGTTGCGTCCGGTCGGTTGTTTGTCGGTCCGCAGCGAGAAGTCGAAGAGACGGACGCGAACGGTGGCGAACACGAACGACCCGCGGTGGGACCAGACGTTCGTCTACAACGGGATCAGGAGCACGGAGTTGAGAAAACGGGCGCTGGAGATCACGGTCTGGGACTATCGTAACTACGACACGAACGACTTCCTCGGCGAGGCTGTCCTAGAGCTGGGAACGTCTCGGCTGGACGAGGAGCTGGAATGGCTCCCTCTGATCAACCACGGGGAGCACTGGCATGTACATGGGTATGTGGCTGCCGGCGATGGGGCGTAGATTAGGGTGTTTCTTCATTTCTTCATGGCTTTGGTATGAGAAAACACGGTCGCTGTTATGCAAATCATGTCTGCCTGTCGAAGCAACCTAGAATGAGAACTAGAAGGATTGGTGATTGACGAACACTCTCTGCGCTTGTTAGCCGCCTGAATGAACGCTAAAAACTTACCGACTCGCCTAGAGCTTTTTCAGAGAGAGAGAGAAAGGGAAATAAAGATATGTATATAGATATGTATATATATATGTAAATCTATAAATATATCTATATACATATTTAAATACAGCGAGCGAGCGAGAGAGAGAGAGAGAGAGAGAGAGAGAGAGGAAGAGAGAGACAGAGGGGGAGGGAAAGAAAGAGAGAGAGAGTGAGAGAGAGGCTAGAGCGTAGGCGGCAAGTCGTTCTCGAACGATTAGGCTTGGGGAGAAGGAATCTGTCGACACGCGATTCCCAATGGATTCAATCTGAGGATCTTCTCGGGATCTCCGGGAACTCGGTGAACACCGGTACTCTGAATCCGATCGGCCGATTCTTTTTCTCCTAAGGCTAGAGATGAGCGGTAGCGTGAGAGATCTAAATTTCGCGTTACACAGATTCTATCAGGAGCCCGATGACGTGGTGATAACGGTGGNTCTTCATTTCTTCATGGCTTTGGTATGAGAAAACACGGTCGCTGTTATGCAAATCATGTCTGCCTGTCGAAGCAACCTAGAATGAGAACTAGAAGGATTGGTGATTGACGAACACTCTCTGCGCTTGTTAGCCGCCTGAATGAACGCTAAAAACTTACCGACTCGCCTAGAGCTTTTTCAGAGAGAGAGAGAAAGGGAAATAAAGATATGTATATAGATATGTATATATATATGTAAATCTATAAATATATCTATATACATATTTAAATACAGCGAGCGAGCGAGAGAGAGAGAGAGAGAGAGAGAGAGAGAGGAAGAGAGAGACAGAGGGGGAGGGAAAGAAAGAGAGAGAGAGTGAGAGAGAGGCTAGAGCGTAGGCGGCAAGTCGTTCTCGAACGATTAGGCTTGGGGAGAAGGAATCTGTCGACACGCGATTCCCAATGGATTCAATCTGAGGATCTTCTCGGGATCTCCGGGAACTCGGTGAACACCGGTACTCTGAATCCGATCGGCCGATTCTTTTTCTCCTAAGGCTAGAGATGAGCGGTAGCGTGAGAGATCTAAATTTCGCGTTACACAGATTCTATCAGGAGCCCGATGACGTGGTGATAACGGTGGCGGACCGGCATCGCAGTCCACCGTCGACGACGTCGCGGCTCAGCGACTCCGACACTTCCGACTGCGACGTCTCCAGGGAGCAAAGGAGAACAGCTGACGGTACCAGTATAAGCAGTGTCGGCAGTTCCTCCAGGTAAGAGCCATCCTTCGAAATCTCTCTACGTCGCGTTCCGTTCCATCCAGACCACCACCACCACCACCACCCTCTCCCTCGCCCTTCTACCCTGAAAACCTTCGAACCACACGCCCCCAAAAGCCGAACGATATACGGTATATAGATCGCTCGGGTTGGAGAGCGTGCTATTTTCGCGGCCGATGCGCCGCGAATATCCCCCACGGACAAAGAACGTCCCAGGCCGACGAGAACGGCTAACGAGATCCGCTTCGTCTTTCGCTTCGAGTACGCGACGCCACGCCAAGCCCTACCAACCCCTTCCTACGACAAGCAAATGGAGTTAGGCTCGCTATCAAACGTAAGTCTGACGCCCGATCCTCGCGATCACGCTCACCTCGGACCGTTGGTCGCTTTTATTCTACCGATGGTAGCCGATACTAATGGTTGCGAATCTTTGCAACGATACAGATTGCTTTTGCAATTTAGATTAAAAATAGTCTGTCCGGTTACAGTGAGCGATCTATCGACAAGGTTCGGAGATTTCGTTTAGTCACAGTTCACACAGTCGCGATTGGTAACTTTGCGAGGCTCGGGAATTTCATTTGACCGATCATTTCAAGATCGAGGTCTTTATTTGGACGTGGATACAGTCGCAGTAAACTTTTCAAGAATTGAGTAAGTTCACCGCGGAAATCTTATTTGGTCGCGGATAAGATATTTATTGGGCTTTCATTGAGGTTTGCATCTTATTAGATTTGACCCACTCCTTACTTGTTATTGATCTGAATGGAGAGGCGATGTAGCCCTAGAAATACTAACCGCAGGTCTAGAGGACAAACAAAATTATGCACATAATCGTTGACCTTTGAGACTCTTAGCGATGACACGATTGCTCTTTGAATTTAATGGCTGGGAACATCCTGACCCGGGTGTTCCAAGACTTCGCGATATTCTCGTTTCTCGCTAACCACTTCTATCGAGGATAACAAAAGAATCGGTTCCCTTTGTGACAGATAGAATTCGAAGAAATAGAATTTCTTAAACACTGCCCTCTTAACCGACGTGCATCGCGATGAAGAAAAAAACATAATCATCAACTGTTTACTACGTTGTTATTCGAAGTGGTCAGTACACAAAGCTACTTTGTAGTTACCACACAGATAAATTGTTTCTCTTCTTTTCTTCCGTGACACACCGCAACGCTAACTGGAAAAATTAAGCTAACCATGTAAATCTATAAAAATACAGAGAGAAACAGAGTGGCAACATTTCGATGAAACACAGTCGACAGGCTGTTTGTTGAAATGAGAGGAGCGGTCGCAGATTCACGTTCGTTAGCGTGCCTCCAGGTCCGCACGTGGCATTCGCGAAATTAACCAGCGATCCACGTGGAATCGGACCGGGTCGGGCCGGGCCGGGCCGAAGAATTTGTCGTGTAAGTGCGAAGCTGTGTCGTGCGAGGTTCACGGTTGCCGTTTCTCCGGAATTAATGGCACTTAACCGCGGGTGCAGCGTACCGGTGTCCTTGGCGAATGGGACTCGTGTTACTAATCTGGTCGCGTTACTATTCCGAGCTTAAGATCCCGTTTACAGGGCCCGTAACCGGCATCGTAACTGTCGTCGTAATGGTGCTCTCGCGCTCTCGGTAGCGTGCGACGCGGTCTTAATCGTCAATAACAACGGGGGCGTCGCGACGCGAGGCGACGCGCCGCCTGTTCGAGATTATCCGGGATTCGTCCCACCGCGGCGACCCCCGTCCGGTGAAATGTTTCTCCATGCGTCTTTCCTGCATCATTGATTCGATTCCGCCTCATTGAGGAGGCACGAGCGCGCTGCCTTCTGTCCGACGGTCGCGATCGATCGATCGACCCACGTCGCTCATCGGCTTGGCTTTTTGCGTGGAACCGGTGATCCGGTCCCGTGGCTTGCGACTCGACCACTTGCCTGTCCACGATGACACTTAATCCTTCATCGCCGGGCCTTGTGAACGCCCTCAAAGTTTCGTCATCTCGTCGGCTTCCAGGCTGACGACTCAGACGTCAGTAGATTTCACCGTCACTGATCGGACGGCGAGCTAAAAATCACTGGTTCCAGCGGACCGTTCACCTTTGCCGCAAACTTCTATTATTCCCCTGTGAAAAGGGCCTTCAGTCTGCTATAAAGTTCTCCCCACTTTTCCTCTAGGCTGAAAATAGAATTCGTCTGAAACCTCGACAGATTATACCGTCGATGTTCAGAAGACTGTGAATTTTATGCATTTATGGCAAGAAATGAGCAGGAGCAATCTAAAACAGCGAAGAGATTAAAAGAGACCAACTAATGTATTAGACTTATTAAAGTACATCTTGCAATTGATGCTGCAACTTCTTATTTTGCATAAAGATCCGCAGTCTAATGATCAGGCGGAGAGTTAAAAGTCGGTCAAATTCTGTTCATCTCGTCACTTTTTCTACACAGCAGTGTACACACTTCGACTTTCAGTAAGTCATACCAGCGCTGGTCAGACAAATGCGTAACAGCATTGATTTTTCTCTGTGATCTTCTTTATTTTTCTTCGGAATCGACTTGGATATTTATTTCAGCCTCGAAAAATGATCTTTTCTCCCCGAGAAAATGCGAGAAGTTCCATCATTTCACGATTCTGATAGCTGGAGACATTCCATGGCTCGTGCCTCAGTGGATTTCACTACCATCGGTCAGACACGAAGATCAAGAATATTCGTCTGAAAAATGTTGTCCAATTTTTCTGGCCTTTCACTTGTGAAAGGGTTTAGACATTTATTTCAGTCTATCTAGAGTCTACATTTCACAGCTCGGCAAATTGTCCTTTCGCAGATCAGGTATACAGATCAAGACAGTTCATTAGGAATCATTGAATTCTTACCTTAATTCCTAAGATCGATCCTTCCGACTTTTCTCTCTCTCTCTCTCTCTCGTGTATCTCCAAACTTTCATCATCTCTGAAATGCATCAAGAAAATCAAATTCGTTGCCACGAGTAGATCATGCCACGATTGGCCGGACATACGAAAAATCTCCGTCGGCAGAACACAGTTTACATTCTTCCCCCGAATTTCACCGGCAAAGTGCTCCGGCCGTTCGTTTCGAGCAATTTGATCGTAGGCATCGGCTTTTTTAATTACCCGGGGCTCGAACGGTGCCGATTGCGGGCTCACGAAGATTGCAAAAGGTGGTCGAGCTTTTTGTCTTCCGCACGGAGGGCGACGTTACCGTGACGTAAGGCCGTCGATGATCACAGCGTCGCGAGAGAGACACGGCGACGAACAAGGGTGGAGAATAACGGAGTGGCGGTCGGGAAAGAGAATTAGAGAGCGAGAGAAGGCGAGAGAGAGAGAGAGAGAGAGAGAAAGAGCGCAAGAGAGACTGAGAGAAAGGGAGGCAGAGAGACAGGGAGTGAAAGAGGAACCAGGGGTGAGGAGAGGAGAGGAGGCCGAGAGCCAAGTTATAAAACTGGGCAACAAGCCAATTGACATGCCAGTTGGCCTGCAACCACCGCTGGCTGCGGAAGCCAGCCCCTGAACCCGTATCCATATTAATATTCCAACGATGACGTCCGATCGTTATTTGTGAGTGCAAAGTGCTTTCCGCCGAGCCTTCTGATCCTTTATTTTCCGCGTCGCGGATGCGATAAAAAAAAACAGCCGAAGAAAACAAAACAAAAAAGAAACACCGGCAAAGAGTGACGTGAAGGGGAGGAATCGAGAAAGAGAGAAAGAGAGAGCGCGCGCGCGAGAGAGCGAGGCTCTCTACGTGACCGGTGGAAGAGCAGAGCACAAAGAGAAAACCGGAGGATAAAAACGGAAAATCAAAGAGAAAACAACCGGATGGGTCGGCCGCGAACGGCGGTTACTGCAACGTGCAACGTGTCTAAACAAATTCGGGCCGAGTGCAACGGTTAATAAAGTTTTTATCATTTGCGCGACGGTGCAGTTTCGTGCGGTTCGTGCAATTCCCTCGGATTCCGTGACGGTGTGTTCCGGTGCATCTTTCCCAGCCGTCGGTCACGTTCCCGTGACGGGTTAATCGAGTCTCTAGAAATCAAGAATTAGTCCGGACCCATCGGACGCATCCGCGATCGCCGATCCAGCACGGTGATCCAGAAGAGCGATCCAGGACAACGATCCGGGGGTATACCGTACGTGGAAGTACGCGAGCGGTTTCGTGATTCCGGGGTGAAATTTCCGGGTAAAATCGGTGCTGGGTGGTACACGGCGACGAGACCGGGGGATCGTCTCGAGCTCGTGGAGGGAACAGCAACAACGAGGAGAAAGGTGTTCGCCGGTGATCACGGAGTCCCGATGCATCTGGATTACTCGTGACTCGAATGCAGAGGGGCAGAGGGGCGAACGATAGCGGGCGAGGATGCAAGGTGCACGAGGCTACCACTACCACCCGAGAACGCAGGGAACGCCGAAGACGAGAGGGATCCTCCTGCCCAGCGTCCCGGCCGCCTTCTCTCCTCGCCGTGCCCCCGCCCTCTCGGTTACCATTTCCAGGTCTAATTGGTCGAACCTTTGTAAATTTATTCCGCGGATGATGCTCTGAATTCAAGCTTCGCCTCTCGAGAGGGTTTTCTAGTCGCTTCTTCCCTAGGAAAGTAATGCGATTGCCGGCCGAAGAATGGAGAGCAGGGAAAGAGACCGAGAAAAAGAGAGAGAGAAAGAGAGAGAGAGAGAGAGAGGGAGAAAGAGGAAGAGTGGTTCGGAACGGGAAAGAAGGGAGAAGAGACGCAGCTCTCGCAGGCCGCTCGCTCGCTCGCTCGCTTTCATTTGTAATCAATCGCCTTATCTCCGACCCTCTTCGGTTTCGAGGGTGCTCGAATAATAATAATATCTGAAAGTTGCCGAGCTCGTTGAAAATTGCACGACACAGCCTCGAATCCGAGGAAAAGTTGCGGATCGCACGGTCGAAACTTCCGCGAGAAATCCATCCCCCGCCCCCCTTGACATAACCCACCGTGCCCCCTGTGTCATCCGGCTCGCTTTAAATTTTTCATCGAGCGTTCCCCGTTCGTCGCGTGAAATCGACGCGGTTCGTTTGCAGTCGCGCGCGAGTAACAGAGAACGAGAGCTTGGGGAAGAGAGTGAGAGATAGAACGAGAGACGCGTGAAAGAGAAAGAAAGAGAAAGAGAGAGAGAGAGAGAGAGGACGTGAGAGCGAGAAAGACTGTGTGTCGTCGCGCCTCGAGGTCGGGTTTGTCGTTCGACGTCGAGAATCTGTAGAAACGATTCGGAACGACCGCGTGCTTCATTAATCCATCTGGCCTCAATCTGCGTGTGCCAGCTGACCGATTCTCTTTTTCACCACCACCGCAGCCCCCCGCCACCCTCTGCCAGCCCTCCCTTTCTTTCGTTCTTTTCTGTTCTCTCTCCCTTTTGTTCCACGCGCGGGCGCGAGAAAACGGGAATAATTGATACATCCCGACGTCCGGGTGCCGGCCCGCAAAGGCGTCCAGATATTTAATAACCTTCAATATCGCTTAACAAGATTTTCCGGAAGGGTTTCACTAGTTACATTAATAAATACATTGTCGGGGAGCAGAGTCGGCGGCCGCGACGCGATCAGATCACTCTCCTTTCGTTCACCGGTCGCCCTGTCTGCTTTTCTCTCGAGGGAGGACCAATAATGTGTCGATATCCAGCACAATTTTCAATCTAACAGAACATTCGATACGTATCTTTCAGTATTATGTTGCTGAGAATTTTTTGGGTCACTCTGATATTTGTAATTGTTTTGTAAATAGCAGTGTTTGATCGGTAGATTGTAGACATCAATTGGAATTAGCACGCAGGATTCTACAATTTATCTCCTCTATTGAAAGTTAATTAAATTCCTATTTTATAATTGCATCAATTTTAGCCATTACTTTTTAATAAACTCTCTTCTTAAAGTCTGACTACGCACATAGATTACTTATTAATAAAATAGTTTCAAGCCACTTGATTAAACATGCTTTTCATGCTGTTAGCCCTGTTCTTTGCGTGAAAATTTACCCTTTTCTATTTCTAAATAGTTTCTCTTCGATTATACTGTAAATTGTTATCCCCTTAAAATCGCATTGCTAGATTGCGGATCTTTATTCAAATTCTCATTTGCATATATCTTACAAAACAGAATTAAAGAAGTATTTCCTTCGTCAAATAAAAAATCACTCAGTGCAAAAAGAAATGCATAAACATTCGCAGTCTACTGATTAAACGTACGTAACGTCTATTACAATTAACAATTTTAAGCATTATATTAAATATGCTTTTCGAACCTATATTTCTAATGAAAGCACACAAAAGTTAAAATAGAGTATAACAGATACGTATCGGAATGTATTAAAAAAGGGCGTCACCCAGACGATATACTAATCTCTCTACCTTCCCTCGTTAGAAACGATTCATTATACTTTCTTCGGAGCTGATCCCCGCGCCGCGGTATTTTAACGCGTCGTTATCGGTTTTATTTCCGCGTTAACGACGACCGTTCGCGATCGTTTGAATTCGGTTGCAAATGGAGCATAATCGAAGACCGCGCTGGCGCCGCCGGCCAGCCGTTCTCCATTGGTTTCATTTTGTAATCGTGTGCTCTGTTATTTATTTTTTAGGTTTCATAATATGCCGTCAAATTATAAGCGGTACGGCCATTACAACTTATATTTTCTCTCCTCTCTCACGAATCACGCAGTCACGAGTCTTGCATCCTCTCACCTGCTAGGTTAACTATATAAAATAGCGTACCGCGCGTAGACCATCGCCAGACCGCGCGCGGTTTCCCGTAGAGAGACCTCCCACGAGGTCGTTCTTTCTTATTTAAGTTGAAAGCGATCTCACGCCGGTCTGATCGGCGCGAACGACTCGCTAAAGAAGCGTGAACGTCCGTCCGTCAAAGGGGCGACCGCGTTTCGTTCCTCCGCGTTGCCTCGCGAACGACGATTTAATGACGGCGCAACCGCGCGCATATCGCCGACGACGAGAAACGACGAAACTGAGACTGGTTTTTGTGCGCACTATCCCCGGTCCCCGTTAATGCGCTTCCACATAAACGTGTCGTGCGCTGCAAACTTTGATAGAATTTTTGACGAACTCCATGCACGTCCGTGGAAGATCATTTTACCTCAGATGTCTCGATCTATTCAGCTTTCGTTTCACTCCAATTGGGAAACTAGCAGGAATTGAAAAGTGTCTGACAATAACTGCTTCGAACTATTGTACATCGGTTCTGACTAAAACTGTTATGCTAACCCGACACACTTTATAACAGTTACGAGACTTTCTCGGTTCTCCATAACCGCTTCAAGAACCGAAACCGATACCATAACAAACTGTTACAGTTTTAACATACCTTGAGGATATTGAATGTATCCTCCAGTTTCAGTAAAAGCAACGATATGTTCTCAACTTGCTCAGACATTCGAATTTGTTTTCGATGTCGATCTTCTGCCTTGATACCGATCCAATTTACGATGTAACGATTTCGAGAAGCGGACCGTCGTCTCTGACTCCATGCAAATGAGCTCCTTGCATTCGAATGGCACACAGCTGCAGCTCATCAAAACGTCCTAACCGATAGTCTCCCAACTCCTTCATCCCTCATCGCGCCAGGGCGTCGCTTGTAGCTCCCAAAGAAACCGTTTGCGGGCTGTTACGAACGTTCTGGGACCGTGTGATCGGCGCAGAGTGTCGTTTCTCGTCGGGAGCCGGGTGCGCTAGCAAGAAACCAGAAAGAGAGAGAGAGACCGGATGCGCGCGAAATCGACGATAACGACGACGACGATGACGACGATGACGACGACGACGACGGTGACGGTGTAGTTCTGGGCGCAGAGATTCAGTAGGTCACCGATCACGTAGGCACACGTAGGCGTCATCATGTCATCGCTTCTTGCATCCTCCCACGTTTCTTTTACGTTTACTGTTTCTCTTTTGGTTCTCTTGACGATATGAACGTAGATACTTTTGCGAGAGGACATGGCTTCTAGTTAAAACGCTTAGTGCAACGCGATGCATCGGCCGGGGTGGCTCCATTTCAGAGTCTCTCGAGGCTTGTGTGCCGTCTTGGGCAGCGTCCAGTTCACTTTACGCGTTTGCTCGGCGCGCTTTACCAGCGCGCGTTGTCGGTGATTCCGTTGCCAGGAACCCGGATGAAACGGCGAACTGGTTCCCCTCCCCGTCTACGAGCTTCCGTTTTCTTGGTCATTCTCACTCCCGATCGCGAACACGACGTTACGGTTGTCCCGTTTACGCGTTTTTGGCTCCGGGACGATCTCGCGCGGTCCGCGCGCGTTTCTCTCCCCCATTGTTTTCCAGCGGGGACCAGCTCTCTCTCTCTCTGGCCAGCTTCTTGGCAACGGAAACGGTCCTTTCCATTGTTGGAGGACACCATCGGGAGAGAACGGTCCAACCTTCTCCGGTCTGGCTTCATTGGCAAGTAAATCGTAACGATAGCTTCGCCGCGGACATATCGCAGGAATCTATGCATTTTTGCACTTTGCAGATATCGAGACCGGTCTGCGACCAGTTCTCCGCGGAATGAGGTAATAAGTATTGCCGTTGGAAATGATTCATTCCCCGTGTGCCTCTCTCTATATATATCTATATATCTCTATATATATGTGTGTGTCTGTGCACGCTCGGTCTGTGATCGATGAAAATTGAACAGTAACACCACCAGAAACCGTGGTTCTTCGATCTTCTAAAGCAGAAGAATCGAGCGAAAGCTGATATTTTGTCTAGAGAAAGAGAGAGAGATTGTTCAAATTTCGTCCGCCGCGTTCGTCCGACGAAAGGAATCAATTGTTCCAAGGGTCAATAGTTAGTGTCTCACTCTGTTTTAACCACTTATACATATAACATACATCTCTCTCGCCAACGTAGTAGGATGTAAATACTTGTTTAATTTTTGAAGGAAGAACGAGCTTGCTCGCGCGAGAGAATTTTGTTGACTGTGATCGGTCCCCGCGGGACCGTCGGCCGTTCTACAGTTTATTGTTTTTGATTCTGGCAAACGTAGTAGAAACTCGCATCCTCTTGTCTTGGTTTGTCCGCTTTGTCCGAGTTCGTTCGTCTGTTGAACTGAAAGAACACGAATCAGCAACGCAGCGTAGTAATTTTTTGCATATTTCGTAACTATAAATATATATACATATATTTCTGGTATACATGTATACATACATATGCTCTGTGCGCGTAATTATATGGTGTACACGAACATGACATGTCTGACCCATATATTATATATCTGCATACACGCGTACATCGGTATATGTATATAAATCTATATATATTTATATATGAGCATCGCCAATGAGAACCAGCCTGGCCGCATGCACTCTGTAATCTAGCGCGAGATCACAGCACTCGCCCCATTTAACCTGTAAGCCACACGACGATCACTAATCGGCGAAAAAACCCCATGAACGCATGCCGGAGCAGCCACCATTCTAGCCCCCCGCCGGAGAACGAGCTGTGCGTCGACGGGGAGCACCGGAGTCGCAGGGACATGCTGTCGCAGGGTCGCAAACGACCCGCCCTCACCATCCGCGAACAACCCGCCTCCATCTCGGGCTACCAGCCCTATCGCAAGGTGAGTCGTCGCACCTGCCGCGATCTGTCGTTGGCTTCCGAGAAGATCGCTCACCCTTGCGTCTCAGACCTCAGAATTTTCCCATTTGTTTGATCTTAGCAATTCTACTTAAATTGTGCTTCTTCGTCGATATCGTGAGCACAAGTTTCTCGGTGACACAGTTAACCCGTTAACAGTGTATACCGAAATATTTCGTGATATATTTCAATGGGATGACAACTTTTATCGTCGTGGAAATTTTTAGAAATCATATGTGGAGAATAATAATGTTATATTATTAAAACTTAACGCGACCATGTGGTACAAGCTGCACAGTTTAATTTCGAACATCACTGTAACATTTTCTATATGCAGTAAACTTTGGCTGTCATTGCTTGAACAATCATCGTCTACTGACAAGGGACGTCCTTCTTTGACGCTGAAACCATCTGTAAATTAATCGAAACACATTTTGCCGATTATATACCGTACATTTCTTCGAAAGAGCTGCAAATTGTGCTGCTGCGATTTTTTAATTACTTGAAGCGTGATAATATAACTTCTCGCTGCGAAAGAAAAAGTCCCCACTGTAACTGGAGTTGTACGGTAGTTAATTCCCCGGTTAGTAAGTTAAGTAAATTCAACCCTTGTGACAATTTCATGCGTTCTGATTCTCGCAAAGAAGGCAGAAAATTCCGCAGATTGTTCAGTCACGAACAATTTTCAGCTTGCGCGATCGAATAAATATGACCGTAATTTTGTTGAAACTAGTGCACAGCCATCGGTGTTGAAAGTAATCGTAGTTAAAAGTATTAAGTTGGGTCGAAAGAAAAGGGGACGCGATAGGCGAAAGTTTCGAGGGAGCACAGCGCAGCGAAAAGAAAGGACTGGATCGCGAAGGGGTGAACGGTCTCGGAAGCCTAATTGATTTGCCACGGTCCAGGCCGTGGAGGGACGGTGTTGCTAAGTTTCTGTGATTCCCAGGACGATATTCACCGAGGAATGATGAGCCACAGGTCGCAGAGTGCAGCGCCTATGGTCGCGTCGAGCCTCCGGTACCGCGGTAGGTCTCAGAGTCCCACCGGTCATCGCTCCCTGTCTCCGCCGGAACACAGATCCATGCCCTATTCGCACAGCTACGTATCGACCAGGTATGAGTTATCGTCAGGGCCTCTCCGCCACGTGAATCGAACTGCGAAAGAGGTCGTCTGTGCCCGCTATCGTTTCCGCATTACAGATTCGCCTCGAGGTCAGCGACAGCCACTCCCACCGGCTCCCCGAAGAAACGACAGTTGCCCATGATCCCGGCGATGCTCAAGGAACGGGTCGACCAGGACCTCCAAGAGAGAGTCACGTTTATGAGGCACCATAACAGACCGGTGCACACGTACGGCTCGAGCATGGGAGGTGAGTCCATTTCCGAAAATTTACTACCGCCCACGCTATATCGTCGCCTAAGTATTGCGTTGCCTCTGCTCCGGATATTTCATGGAGCACGCCGCGCCTCATAGTTTTTACCTTGCCTCGTCATAAATTCTTCTTGGTATTAACCCCGTTGAAAGGCTGACTGAAAAATAGGGCTCGCAGCTGCAGCCTTTCGGATTGATTGTATCAGTGGCGATGCAAGATTTATGTTGTAGCAAGAGGTTTATTAGAAGCATTGGCTACTTTGTCTAGAAATTATGATAAAAATTGATTGGAGGAACTTCGTGGAACGTTTTGTTATCGGAGCTTGTTAGATCAATTTTCTGGAACGCTTTTCTACGAGTATTCGCCACGAAATGTTGTCCAGTTGCAACGATTGCGATAATTTATTAGAGGAAAATGAAAATTGAAAATGAGATAACAGAACAGAACTTGATAAAAAGAACAGAATTTTATTCGAACGTAAAAGAACGAATTGACGTTGATACTTGACGAGTTACTTAACTTAAATCTTCTAGAAGATTTAAAAGCTTAGAAAAATGGACTAGAAATGTGGTGCAAGTGTATTTGCCAGAAGAATGAATTAATATCGTTCACAAGACCCTGGTAAATCTTGTTTGACGGAGGATTTACGCATTTTTGCAGGTTGGGAGAGACACTATACCGGACTGTCGGACTCGGATCTGCCCTCGGTGGGCTACGATCCGTTGTCGTTGCAGCACGGCTATCCTTACCGAATTCACGGGACTCGTAAAGGACACTTGAGTCCCGAGAAAGACGTACTCGGTGATCACGGTGACTCCGATATGGAGAGTATAGCGTCCGTGACGAGTAGTGCCTTGAGTACGCAATCGGAGCGACCACGTGCCACCAGAGGACTAATGTGAGTATAGATCGATGTCTATTTGTGAAATAATTTTTCGAGTCGATGACCTTGCATTTATTCGAAGTCAGTGTACAAAGCAAAAACAAGTTCCATAGAGAAGAAATTCACCCTTTAGAGGAGACAGCCATCCATTGTACCGTTTCTACGTGGCACGCGTTCTTCACTCCACCCCCTCGCCCCTCTATCCCCATTCGCATTCTTTGTTTTCACAAGAGAGTTGCCGGTCGATCCGATTAATGCCTCGCGAGACACCCAGCCAAATTGATCGAGAGATTCCCGATTGGATCGTCGTTACTGTCCGAGAGAGCGCACGTAAATTCCTATGAACACAGGCGCACAGAATGGAACATTTGATGGCTCACCTTCTCACCGACGATAATCCCTGAATTAAATGGACATTGCCGAATGAAATGTCACCCCGTAGCTGCACTACTCTCATTCCATCCCCCCACCGCCTGCTTGATAGGTATCCCCAGATCCTTGCGCGCTCTCTTCGAGGATTCTGAAATCTGTTCTAGAGACTAGATGATGCACCTCCTATGCACCGTGTCAATGTCCATTTAATGCTGTCCCATTCTAACAGAGCAGGGATTAGTGCGTGGCGTTGGTCGAACGGCTAGGTGTAACCCACGTTTGAAAAGATAAAAAAAAAAGAAAAAGAAAAAAAGAGAAACACGTCACCTTTTGTTACGATCACCGAGAGAGAGACTTGATCGAATCGCGTCGCGCTTTGTCCACCGAAACGAAAAGATTACCTGCATTTCTTTTTTTCAAATTGTTCGGCGAGTGACAATGCTCAAAATTCGCAGGCCACAAAATTCTGTTCGATGTTCGGACCTCGAGAAATCCGGGAAAAATATAGAATACAGAAGTGAGTGAGAAACGCGTTCGATCGATCGCGAACGTGCGAGTAGAGTCGTTTTGCATTTTGAAGTATAGAAATGAGAAAATCGTATATATACATGTATCCGATGTGTATATATATGCTGTCTCTTGTTATACACGCAAATGTACGAAGAATGGGCTGAAAATCAATGAAAAAAAGATACATAAAGAAACAAAGAAACAAGCTAGATATAAAACAAACAAAAAAAAACACAAAAATACGTACTCGTTTTACTGTGACCGCAGGATGCGCTAAAAACTCTATATGAAAAACATTGTTTGCAGACCGACAGTTAAAAACGTTTTAATACCCGGTGTCATATCCCCTATGCCCCTGCCCCCTAGGCGCAATAGGCGCAGGCACAGACTTAGGGTACCCTGCAGCGAATGTCACTGTCCGAACAACAATCCCACCAAGCCCAGGAGCAACAACCCAAGCAAGCACAATCCCACCCCGCATCCCCTCGTACGGAGCAAGTCCGCAGTGGTGCGCTCGTTATACAGAAAGATGCGTACGCCGTTCACGAGGTCGCAGACCGTCGACGAGAACATGCTGAGATATTACAGCCCGGAGACCAGCGAGTACAGCGTCTCCGAGGGTTACATGCTCAAGCCCGAGGAGCTAACCGGTAGCTCCAAGAAACGTATACCGGAGATATACGTCGAGGATTGCCTCCAGGTCGACTTCAACGATCGCCTCATCGAGAAGTTCCGCGGCCGGTACTCCTCACCATACCTGTTGTTGGACTCCGGCGCGCGTAGACGGTCGCGTAGCTGGCAGGACCGAGCGGGCCGATCGGTCGCGAAGGTCGCTAGACACCAGTTGCTCGCGAGAGGCATGCACGATTTTACGGACGACACCGGCATTAGGAACTTAGACGTTAGCTTGCGGCCGCGTAGATCGTTCTTGTTCTCGAAGGCTAGGAGCTTCGATTACGACGTGCTGCACGACACCTACGCGGACCGGTACGGCTTCGGAATACGCGGGGGTCTGCTGTCGCGGCGCGCGAAGAGCTTCGAGTACGACAACATATCCGGGAACATATTCAGCGACGACAGCCTGCGCACTGCCCGAAGAAAGCTCAAGAAGAACCTGTCGATCAGCGACGCCGGATACGGCGACAAGATACCGGCCCTCGGCGATCAGAGCAAATCGTACCTGGACTCGAACGGCGACGACAAGATGCCGAACAGCCTGATGGAACGGGAGAAGAACTACGATTACATGCTCAAGGACCACAAACCGTTCTACGGTTACGACACCGACTTCGTTTGCGGCGGCGCCCAGGTCTACAGGCCGCGTTTCGGCAAGCCGATCGACCTGAACAGAGCGAAGGGCTACCGATACGATCTCGACAATGCGTTCAGCAGCGACGATCAGATGGGTCTGAGGAACGTGCTCGGCAGAGAGGACCCCGCTAAAAGGAAGTACATCGACTCGACGTTCCAGGATCACGATCCCACGTTCGCCAGGAACATATCGGAGAAACGAACGAAGAACCTGGACGACGGTATCTGCGATCCTACCAGCGATCATATATACTGTAGCATCGACGAGGCGCTGTCTTCCTCGGACACGTACGGCCGAGAGGTCAGCTGCTCGCCGATCCACGTAGCCTCCGATCTGGACTCGTACGAGGATCAGAGGACGAGCAGGAGCGGTCGCAGGCGAACGAAGAGCAGCGAGTCGTACCTGGAGAACGGATACGACGGGTACGACTGGGACGTCGAGTACGACGAAGGGTTCGTGGACAGAGGGAAGATGGACGATTACGATCAGAGATTGTACAGCTACGAGGACAACGTCCAAGCATCGAGGATGGACGAGCAGATGTACGACGACGACTATTACGATCGCAGGAGACGGAGCGGGTCGAGGAAGAAGAGAACGTCGCAGTACGTCGAGGACGATTACCTCCAGGACGGTTATTGCGGCTACCGGTCCGCGGACGAGTACGATTACCAAGCGCACAGCGGTCCCGAGAGCATGCGAGCCGATCACTACCAAGACAACACGCTGCCTAGGCGCAGGCGAAGGCGCAGCAGACGGGAGAGCAGGGAGGCTGGCGTCTACGAGAACGTCCCGTATCGGGACACGAGCAAGGGCACGTTGGTGGTTCCGAGCTTCTCGGAGAGCAAACGAATGATGCTGCAGCGCGCGGAATCGTCGCCGGTGCTCCGCTCCGACGAGGAGCTCAGCTCCTCGGAGCGAGCGGAGAGGATGAAACGGTTGTACCGTCGCCGAAGGAACAGTAGTTGTCCCGAGGCCAGGGAGCTTCGTTACTACGACCGGCGGAAAGACGAGGACAGAACGACGAACTTCATCTTGGACTCGGACGAGGAGTTCGGCTCGATGGAGACGGTCGTGTGCGCGGACTGTTTCCGACAGAAGAACGAGACCGGTATGGTAGTTAGCGATGGGGGTAGGTACTACGAGACCGGACGTGACGGGTACGTTGACGCGAGATACGACTACGGTGACGGACAGATCTGCGACCCGGAGACGTGCGAGCTAGCTAGGTCCGAGTCGTTGAGGGCGTACCGCGGTAGGCGTAAGAGTAGTTGTCCGGAGTGTCGGGAGATCGCGATGGCGTCCGAGCTAGGTAGGTCCGGGTCGCTGCGGAGCAGGCCGGAGGAGAGGCGGCCGTCGTTAGAGTCGCGGCACACTAGGTACCGTAGACGAAACAGCAGCTGCCCGGAGGCTAGGGATCTCGAGCTCCTCGAGAAGAGGCAGCAACAACAGCACCAGCAAGCACAGCAAGCCCACCAGGGTCAGCAACACCAGCAGGGTAGTAAGAGGAACGTAGCGATCAGCGACACCCTCGAGTACTACGAGTACTCGATGGAGAGCGAGAGCCAGTGCAGCGAGAACTGCGGATTTGGCCCGTGCGATCCGCGTAGGCCCCGTAACCGAGCACCCCGCCCCGGTAACGCTAATTCAAGTCTCTTTGATTCCCAAACCGCTACCTCCGACACTGCTAAAAACTACCACCCACGGGCCGTCGATCACCACGATACCACCTCACGAAACACGACCAAACCACCGTCGTCGCGCGACACCACCGACGGGCCGGGCCAACACGGCGTGGCTGCCACGACGACGACGCCGGCGACGGCCTCATCGTCATCGCCGTCATCGTCCCTGCGGCGGCGATCGCGAAAAAAAACCGGCACCGACGGCTACCACGATACCGCCGGCGACGATATGCGCGGCGACGACCAACCGCGGGATCGACGATCCTCCTCCATGCCCGAAAACAGCGAGTACACCGTCCAGTCGGGCTCCTACGAGAAAACCTCCAGAAGCCAGGGCGCCGAGAACGAGGCCGACGAGCACGGCAAACGGAACCAGTTCACTAGAAGCCTCAGCAACACCGACGCGCCGCCAGACGAGAAAGTTGGTGAGTCGACGATCCCATTCGCCAAAATACTCTGCTACGTACGCGTCCTCTTGGGCTCCGAGCACTCGTTTCGCGAGAGCTGCCGGTAGCCATCTCGCGGAGGCTAACCCTTTCGCGGAGATCACGGTTTCCGTCGAGATGTTGTCGCTTCACCGATTAGTCGATGTCTTCGGCTCGCTTTTACGAGATGATCGAATCCGATGAAGCGTTCGCAACGCGGGTCAAAAGTGACCCACGGAGCCATCGTGTCTCCGCGAAGGAGCTAGCGACTGCTTTCTTATGGAGAGTAACTGTTTCACGGAGATCGTAGTTGATATTTTCAGTTGGTTTCTACAAAATGTTGGTATCCAATAGAGCGCGTTTTATGATTTGCTATCTCGAAATAGAGCAAATGGTTACACGATTACGGTAAAGTCTCCCTTACCGATGCTCAGGTTGTGTACAGAAATGGACAACTTGGGAAGAGGAGATACGATTATTCGAACCTTGCGACTCGTTTTTATAGTTGTTGACAATCGTATCTCCTCTTCCAAAATTGTCCATTTTTGTGGACAACCTGAGCGTCAGTAAGGGAGACATTACTGTAGTAGCAATGAATCTCCGCGAAACAGCTACCCTCCACGAGAGAGCCGTTGCCACTCTCTGCAAGAGAGCTATGACACTAGTCCAAGTATGCTAATCCGATGTTGCCGATCTAATCTGTAGATCAATAGCTTTCTCGCGGAGATCTCTGTTTTGTTGATGTCAGGAGGAATTATTGACGCAATGTCTGCAATAGCATTTTTAACTGTACCAATTCTCAAGAAGCCAGCAGATGTACCACTCTAAGTAATCAACCATATTTCGTTGCAATAATATATTTACTACGTGTTGCTACAACAATTGAAGCATATCCCAGCACCTAGTCTTCGAAGTAAAACACACCGATTCGACTTCTTGTTTCATCGACAAGAAAACCCTGCACTATCGTTACCCGATTACCCATTTGATTCTGAGAACATTCTAGTCGAATCATTGCCTCATCTATTACTATAGAAGAATATCGAACCTCGGTTCCTGTAGAAACCCTCGAATGCAGGGTAGAATCCCGATCACACGGTAATCGCCGTGTTTCACACGATATTGTATAATTTATTATATCTAGTCTCGCTATCCTGTGTACGTTGATTCCCAAGTGTCTGCTCTGTAGCAGGTCCGAATGGACCCTCCGTTCGCTAGGCGAGAGCCAAAGTCTGCACCGAATGAAGGAAAGCGATCTTGTTTAGCATCCAAGTAATCCCAGAGCAATGAACTAACCATCTCTGTTGTTTCCCAAGTTTCAGATCGAAAGTCTGTACGCCTATAGAGCCCCCTCTCCTAATAAATCCCGTTTGAATTATGGCAGCAGGCCGTTGACAATATTTCTGTTCAACAGACGGTAGCTTGAGCGATACGGCGATCGGTTTGAACGTCGAAGACTCCTCGAGGAGGGCTCGCAAGAGCTCGCCGGGTAGCAAGAGCGGAAGCGGAAGCAGCGGCGGCGGCGGAAGCACGGCGCAGTATCAGCCCGGACTTGGGAAGAAGAGTAACAGCACCAGTCAGCTGTCCGCCACAGGTAACACATCGTCACACTAGCCGTTTCTTCCAGTTTCACGTTTATAGACGTTGCGTGCCGTGCATTGTTCTCTATCCGCAGAATTCAAGTGAGAGACTCGTTCTCGGGCGCGCGCTAAAAGCCGAGCCGCGTGTATCATGTGTCATTATTCTCTGCCGCGATGATTATCTCTTAGACTACCTTCTCTGCTCTTCTTCTCTATACATCAGACAATTATCTAGTATCAGTCGCTGTGTAACATATTTATTATATCGATAGTCACCCGAGATTTAGCGTAGCGACTAGTCTAGTGCCATTTTAGTGAGTAGACTCGCGGTGTGCTCTCGCTACGTCGAACCGTTCACAAAATCTGCTCGATCCACGCAAGAGAAGCATTGTTGCGGTCCTGAACTCTTGATCGTACGTCGCAGGGCGTTCGGTTCATGAAGAGAACATCGATTTGCTCGAGACGACGCCTTTAAATAGGCGTAGAACGTTTTGGTTAATTCTTTGCAAGGTTAATTTATATAAATAAGTGTATAATAATAATAATATATATAAATAAGTAAACTGCGGATCTTTGCGCGAGATAAAAATGATCTTCATCAGTTGCAACAGATACGAGCCAAATCGATATTCCTTTCTTTCTTTAATAATTTCATTAAATTGAAAATAGTATATAGATGTCCTTAAGTTGAACATAGTACATAGATGTCCTTAAATTCTTTGAACATTTGCATTGTTTTAAATTTCATATACCTATTTTTATCACATATGCGTTACATCCATAATCTAATAAGTGCAGAATTAAGCTTGTCTTGTTGCGGTTTAAAATTGAAGACTATGAACCGCTAGAAAATCGAGGAAGACATTCTGCAGAGAGAATAACACAGTGAGTTCGCAGCATTACACAATACTAAACCAACGATCATTTACTGCATTAGAAGATTTAGGTAATAACGATTTAGACGCTTAACGAACATCCTAAAATACGACACCGTTTGTACAACTTCGTGCAATGAATTTATCATCGTCCACATCTCGCGTTACGAATGCCCTGCGACTTGTACTCGCGAGCATACATCGTCCCATAAACCGGTTGAAACGTTGAAAAAGAAAAAAAAGTAGTGATAGAACGCGAGAGGGGAAGAGAGACAGAGCGAAAGCCGCGAACAAATAAAATTTCGAGGATTCTCCGCGGCGAACGATGACGCGCGAACGCTACCAAGAGCACACCGTATAGCAGCAAAAGCAAAAAGAAAAAAGAAAAAAGAAAAACTCAACCCCCAGTTAACGGGACAGTATGTACATTCTAATCGTATTCTTGTTTTCTCCGCCATCCCTCCTCATCTCTGTCCGCCTCTCTTCGACATGAACACATTCACACTTTACTTCTACCAACCAACCATCTCTCGACGCTGGGGACCACCATTCACGTCATCGATCTGCACCCACCTGCACGATTTCTCATCGTGGCGGGCAATCGTCGCTCGCGCGATCGTGTCACGGGACAACACTCGGCGCGGATCACCCCGATCGATCGCTGGAACGATCACCACTGTTACTTGAAACCGAAAAAAAAAAATAACCAAAACAAAATTACTACGAAAACATCGAAAACTGTGCACGCACGTACACGACGGAACACACAATCGACACACGCCTCTGATCGGTGGCCGACCAACAACACACGAATATCAACATGAAAAATCACACGACACATCTACTCTGGCCGAGAATACAACATCTGTCACTCTGACAACACCGCCACAACTTCTACTTCTACTTCTACTATCGCTACTACTACTACTACCACTACTACAACCACCGCCAATTCTACTTCTACTACAATCACCACAACCACTGAAAAAAATATACTACTACTACTACTACTATGTCACCTCACGCAAAAAACATAACATACCACGTGCGTCTGTTGGTGGTACATGCGTGGGCGACGAAGGACGGAAACGGAGGATAGGCTTCGGGAAGAAGGGCAAGTCCTCCTTTACAGTTCATAGGAGCGAGGAGGTTTTGCCGGAGGACACTGCCAGCGGGAGGAGCGGACGGCAGCCGAGCTCTGCGAGCAGCGACGGCGAGGGTAGCGGCGACGGGGACAGGTCCGAACACCCTGCAAATTACACCCCCTCTCTTCTCCCCCCACGCCCACGAAACCCAGTTTTTGATTTTCCGTGTGACCCCCTCGAGATAAACGGGAAACGAACGGTCCCCTCGTTGCGCGGGAGCGATCGACAGGACCCGTCCACCGAGTCTCACGCTCTTCGGCTTATTCTCTGTTTCGATTCTGCGGCTCCGAGACCTCTTCTCGGCCCTCTTTTTCCCTCCTCTGCAAAACGATTCTGCCGTGTTGTTCCTTGCAGCGATGTTCTAGTAACCGTAATTCGCGATTCTCGCTCTCGATTCTCATCGTCGAGAGAGGACGTCGAACCGAATTCTGTGCCGCGGGAGATCGTTCAAGCCTTCGGCGAAATGTGAGTACAAGTTCTAGAGCGAGTGAAAGAGAGAATGCTAGGCCGAGAGAACGGGAGAGAGAGAAAGAGAGAGAGAGATAGTGCAAGTGGACGAGAGAACGAGAGAGAAACACAGCAAGAAGAACGAGACAGTGATCAGCCGGAGACACTCTTATTACAACAACAACAACAACAACAAGAAACACACGGCACCATTGACTCTCTTAGAAGATGCTGTGCTTTAGAGAACCGGGCTGCGAGACTGCTGCTCGTGATTATTGCCGGCGAATTCGACTAGCATGGTCGAACTGTTCTCGAGTGGAGACCACGCAGGTGGTTTCGCGTTCCTGCGGAATAGTCACGAGATAGTGCTCTGCTTGTCTTCGGTTAAGCTAGATCGTAGAGACTGTTTCTACGTAGTAGCGATGCGTGATCTTTAGAGGAACGTTTGCACGAGTTTCCTGAGCTGTGTGACGAGCCTCGATGAAACCATCGGTCTCATCGAGGAGGAGATCTTCATATCGCGTTCATGAACTAATCGGGTGATTAACGTTCGACTGCCGATTGCTGGGAGATATTATATGCCCACAATTTATTAAGGTTTCATTTAAACTACACGTTCCAACGTGTATGCTGTTCACAGTGCTTCAAGTTTCATTATATTAAGTAAATGGTAATGCACCTATCTTCAATTTCTGAAGTCTGTAAAACGTTTGATCTCTTGCTGTCTGTGTTGCAAAACATATTTCCTGGAAAGCTTGACGCTACGAATGACGCATAGCTTGTGGATTTAAAACGTAAAGCAAGAATAGAGAACTATTCTATCGTACGACTGTATTCGGCTACATGAAAGTTAAAAAAACCAATTCTAGAAAATAATTTCAGTAGAGGCTGCAAGTCTCCATAGTCCTCGCGAATTCCGAGAGACTTTCGTAATCCACGGAGAACAGAGATTAACGATCCGAGCACCGTTGGATGGTCGAACTGTTTCCGTGCATCGGCACCAGCAGTCGGACGTTGCCCCGATCTCGAAAACCGATCAGCGGCTCAAGAACCTTAGGTATTTAGCTACGCAAGTAACTTTTGTTCCGTGTCGGGCTGTGTCCTGTGGCAGTAGAACTGATTGTTAGTGCCGGCGTCGGTCCGATGCGCCGGCGAAGAACGTCGCGTTGTCTGTCTCTGTTTCTGTACAGCTTTCCGGACTTAGATCGCAGAGTCCGACGGTGGTCAACTCGGTAACGAGTCCCCTCTTTCAGCTTAAAACTCGCCGGACGTTAGGTAGGTAAGCTGGCCACCTGGTTCTCGTTACTATTTATTATCTTTAGAGAGCAGCTGTTGATACGTGCTTGGCGGTGGGGAGGCTGGACGCCTAGGGGCGCGGGAAACCCACCCCCACAGCCCACTCCCCGCCACCTCCTGTTTACGGCTTTTACGTTTATCGATGTCTTCAAGCGTTGCAGTGTTTCTTATAGTGCGCATACATATTTCTATATGATGTCTCGATATATTTACGTTTACAGTTACCAAGCAAAACAAGTTTCGTTGAATGTGGCACACGAGACACGTTACACACCACCACGTCGTACACGTTTATACACGCGGAGAGAGACACGCTCGGGTACACCGACACGGTATATACACAGTCACACGGACATTGTCTTGTACATTCTGCCTGCGGACACTTCTTCGGCACTCATCCGGATCGCGAGTTTCGGGATGAGCACGCGGAAGAGAGCTTTTATACATGGATGTACACGACGGGAAACCATCCCCTTACACCCTGGGATACGTGTCACTATAGTTCGCCTCTGTGTACACACACATGGGCACACGAACACACACACACATACGAGACACACGGTTAGAGCGACGGTATTGCAGTTGCGGAGAGCCCTACGTCCCGACGAAGGCAGTCGTGTGCTCCAACGCTTGCCCCATTCTGATTGCAGGTGCCGGCTAAAGGTGGAAGCTGGCGAGAGAACTCGATTAGAGAACCGCCGAAACTCTTTTGCAGGTCTGCCCACTCACGTAATCGACGACGCTAATCGCGTCGCCCAATTGTTTCTCTGATCGCGATCGAGGATCGCTTCGTGTTCAGGTGTACGCGTGTCTTGACCTCCTTCTCTCGTTTTTTCCGTTCGTTTCGGGGGATCGAACGGGGGAAAGAGGGTGCGGAGAGAAAGGTCTAGAAACGTGTGAATTTATCTGTCGGAGAAAATCGGAGGGAGAAAGAGAGAAAGAGAGAGAGTAAGAGAGAGAGAGAGGGTGAGAGAGGGAGAGAGTGAAAGAGAGTCGTGTCTTAAGTCGTTAGAGAGACGACACGCGAGAGGCAACACCTGGAGAGAGCTGGATGAGAAAGAGAGAAGACTGCGGCTGTTATCGCGCGGTCCAAGGATACTACTACCAAAATGAAAGATTATAGTTTAGCGGTTGTTTCTTGTTTGGTTTACAACACAGAGTGCGGTATCGGCTGGATCTACGCCGGAAGTGGTAGCGCGGAGCCACGCGCAAGTTTATCGAGCCGGAAACGCAACAGCACGCCGAGCACCATACAACGATCCGAAGAGATTCTGCCCTATCAGCGCTTTGAACTCGGAAAACAATCGGGATCGGGGGCCAGTGACACAGCCGGAAGTCTCAACTCGATCTCGAGTTCCGAAGGAAGCTCGTAAGTAGTGGCCACCAACAACGACCGATTCTGCAACCGGAACTGCGAGACTCCTTGCTGTCTCTTCCAACTCTTCCTATTCTACATCTTTTCTCTCTCTCTCTCTCTCTCGCTCTCTCTCTCTCTCTCTTTCTATCTCTATCTTCAGAAATCGTCCTCAGATTCTGAGCAGGGTAGCCAGTTACTCGAATTAGACTGTACGCTTCATAGAAAGACTGGTTAACATTTTCTCTTTCACGCCATCTATATATGTTTGAGGGGCGGAATAATTTTCTGAGATTTGGAAATTAATTTGTACGCTTATCTATTATATCTTTCTAATTTTATTAGGACCAGCAAAGGGTAAGAACGTTGGAAAAATGATTGATACCGTGCAACTAAATTTTCGAATTTTAATTTGATTAAATAAAATATTTGAATTGTATGGAACTTTTGAGGTTGTTCGCGTGATAGTCAAAGTGTTAAATCGGTTTTCGAATTTTTCCGAGACAAGACACGGACGGCATACTCTGTACGAAACCAAAGAAATCGAGAAATTCAGATTCGTACCGGTCTGTGCATCTTCTGGATTTATTTAACGTGAATTTGGTAGGGTTGCAAAAATACGAAGGAGATAGAATGTACTCCGCACGAGAGAATATAACGAAGACTATCATTACAAAATATGAATTATAAATTGTGATTTTACTTGGTATTATTTCTCTTTAAGCAAAATTATGTTCTTTGGAGTCAAATGATTAATTGATTATCCCGAACGAATATTTCCAATCAGTTTTGAAAAAGTACGCAGTAAACAATTCCTAAATTCGCACTGGTTCTATTAAATCTTATAGTGAAGAATTTGTTAATAGAATAACAATATATACTCTCTGTTGAAAGCGATCCTGTATGATTGACATAAAATCATGAATTGATAGACGAGAACGTCAAGATAAAAAGTTTAGTGCAGTATTCAAATCTCCGCGAGTAGAATTACAAAGGCACCTCTCATTTTTACATATCCCATTCACACGTTCTTTTTTATTTTTCGACCGTGCTAAAATGATTATCTGAATGACCCTCCGATAAATTGCGATAAACTCGCAAGCTCTCGAACTCGACGCTTATTCAGTTTACTGCGATTTCCAGATTTACGATTTGAAAAAAGCTAAACTTTACGCATCGCGTTATTCGCAAGCATCGTTCTTTTATACCCAATTTCAATTTAAGTGCACGCCGTGTCCATTGAATAATATATTGGAACGAAGGATACCGACAGTTGATGAATTCCTTTTAGCAGAAGGAGTCAAGTTATTAAAAGTTTACAACGAACGGGCTACCCCTGCTATCCACTTTTTATCCCGAAATTCTCCGGCCTGCCACACCTGTGATCCCGTCCGTGAGGAATTTTTACTGTTTGTGCACAGGAAACCGCGAACGTGAAACCGTGGATCGTTTTGTCTTTCAACGTGTGATTGAGTCGATGTGTATGCATTAATGTACATTGTCTTGCTCATTCACGCTTTGTCCCCCCTCCTTTCTTTTTGTGCTCCCGCCTGGATTGTCTCCGCCCCTCCTTCTCGCCTGCCCCGCAGTGTCCTTCTGTATCATTTCATCGCGTGGCGGCGTTTCTTCCCTTTTGTCCCTCGCCTCCAACCCCGAAGAGACGCTGCTCCCCGTTGGGTTTCGTAGCCAAGGAGAAGAAGAAGAAGCGAGGGGACTTCACCGCGAATGCTGCAAAACACACAAGACATGCCAACTGCCGCATCGTACTTCGCTCTTCCTCCGTCTCTCTCCACACTTCTCATTCTTCTCGATCCCCTCTGCGCCCTTTCTTTTCAGTTCTCTGTGTGTGTATATAAATATATATATTTCCAACATATATATATATACATTTCGATTTCGATGTGATCTCGATGTTTCGCGTTGCTGCTGTCATTCGTCGGTGTTTTGTCGTCGTCTTGGCTTGCTGCTTGGCTGAATGATCGCGTGATGTTGACGTATCCGAGCACCGTTACCGTTCTATGTATCTCACAAAAGTTACACACACCCTCTCTCTGTCTCTGTGTACATATATATATATGTATATGTATATGTATATGTATATGTATATAGAATACATATATACATAACTGTATACATATGGTATAAATATGAAAGATATATAATGTGTGTTGCGAATATCATTGTTCTCCGCGCGGCAGGACTTCCGGCGCTCCAGGTCCCTTTTCTTTCGCCCACCCCCCGCCCAACCCCCCCGAGTGTGTGATCACGTTCTACTTAATCCTGTATCTACAGCCGTTTATATTTATAGATGCCACCTCGATCCGGAAAACGATTACGTTACCGTCGCACTGAGCTTCTTGCGCGCAGTGCAACGCTATCGCCCGACACACCGTAGGTAGATGAATGTGCCCGTTCGCGTCGAGTGTGCACGAGCCGATCAAATAATGCCCAGAGAGACCGTGACTAGTGTCCGCGGGAGGCGTTTGATCGGCTCGGCGTGAGTAGTATTCTTGTGTCACCCGAAATCCCTGATTACTCGAACCCCGGGGCGAGCCGATCTCGATTCTAGCCGGGTAGCTAAGTCGAAACGCGGCGGAGAGCCTGCCTCGAGCACGAAGATGTCAGATCCCCGAGCGAAAGGTAACCAAGAACGTAAGTCTCAGACCGACGAACGCATGAGTACGTAGAACTTAGAAGAATAGAGAGCGTCGGCAACGATCAAAGAGACCAATCCGAAGCGTCCGTGTCGAGCGTCGATCGAATTGATCGTTGCCGAGGATCCTTAATACTTATGGTACTTGCGCATAGAATGATCTGCATGCCAACCGACCGCCTGCTGTGTCTCCAACCTTACAACAATTCTCTCTGTACACTGTTATATTATATATATATATATATATTTATACTCGCTACACCGACACACTTGCAGCGTGAGTTCTTCTTGTCTACAATAATCGACCGATGAAAACAATGAGAAAACAGTAAAACCACGAACGAGGTGTAATTTCTCTCTCTCTGTTTATCCGCACTTCCGTCGAAGGCTTGTGAGAGTTATGGTCCCTCGCTCCTGCGGAACGAACCTTTGATCGATTTCTTTCGACCCGCCCCCCCCCGCCCACCCCTGTGAACCCTGTGTTTTTCGTTCGATGCCAATAATCCTAGGATGATACGAGTAGATTGTAGCGACGAAAACGTAAAGTAGCTCATTGATCGGGATCGTATTACCCTCCGATGAGTTACCCCCGCCCCACCCCCCTTCTGACCAACCCCAGTATCTTTTGTTTCTCGTTTGTTCGTACCCCCGAGTACCCCCCTCGGCAACCCCCGAAACTCCCCTCAACTCCAGAAGCGCGGGAGCTGTTTCATTAAAACGTCTGATTTTGGGAACTGCAGTTGGTCCCCAAATCTGCGAATGGCAGGCGAAACTGACCAGATAAGAAACTTCTTCGAAGATCTCGGACCTGGACAGGTGGTCGGCCGACAGGTACTCGGTGCTCAGTGTCTGGGCGAGATTCAGCTCTCGCTGAAGCAGAAGGAGGGCTACCTAGAAGTGGAGGTGATACGTGCCAAAGATCTGAAGCCGAAACAGGGCAGCAAAGCGATACCAGGTACGCGGAGCTTCCTCGGTTGCTAACGGTGAACACCTGCTTTCTGCGCCACCTTTGGCCAGGACCTTTGTGTCAATCTGTCTTGTTAACACTTTAAGATTTCAAAATTACACTAATCTATTATATCTCTTTAATATTATCAGGATCTACGAAACGTAAGGATGTTGAGAAGTTAGTCGATGTCATACAACTTAGCTTTTCATTTCATTAAATGAGATACTTCGAAGTGTTACCAAAAAACGAGATTTATACGAACTTGTTCTATCATGGAAGATTCGTAATTAATGTTCATTCGTATGCGTATCGTTATCGAACGTCGTAGTTGGATGTTGACACAAGGGTTATCAATAGACTGCGGATTTTTATGCAAAAGAAAAGTTGGCTGACTGAATTTATGAGAAACGAAAATGCCTTTTCTCTTTTAATAATTGTAATCAGTTGTACTTGATACAAAAATACCTTTAAATTCCAATTTCTTTGAAAGATGTTATAAATCTTTGCGTTGCATTTCTTAAGAAACTCGATCGATTAACGACCGTATTCAGAAAATCTTGGTTAATCATTTGTTCTCGAAACATCCTTAAATATCGACTGGTAGGTAACGTCCTAAGCTATGTTCCCAATAGTTCGAAATCGTTCAACTATTGCTATCGTTGAAACGTTAGAAGACCACGTGAACGCGACTTTATACTGTGCAAAGCCGAAGAACGAGACGAAATCACCAAGTTATTTCGCTATTCGCTGCAGCGATTCTCTCTTGCCACTTGCTTCGAATTCGAAAAGAATTAGCCGCTCTGGCTTGGCGCAGTATGAACGTTAGCGTGTGCTTTGATCCACTAATTACTGATCATGACGAAACCGTAGCCTCCTACGTGAAAGTCTACCTGGTCAACGGGAAAAAGTGTATCGCGAAAGTGAAAACGACGATGGCGAGGAAAACGCTGGACCCGTTCTACCAGCAGTCGCTAACCTTCAGGGAAAACTGTCGGGGTTGTATACTGCAAGTACGTCATCGTCAATTCTTATTCGTCAAAAATGTTCTTTCCCCTGGGCGAAAGAATAGATCGCAGCGCGTAAAGACAATTGCTCGATGCGGCCTCTTGTGATTTCAGGTGACAGTGTGGGGCGATTACGGCCGATTAGAAGGGAAAAAAGTGTTCATGGGTATAGCGCAGATCGTGTTGGACGAACTGAACCTCAATGAGATGGTGTTCGGGTGGTACAAGCTGTTCAGCAACGTGTCCCTGGTCAGTAGACCTCCATCCCTAGCTGCGTCCCGTCGATCCTCGACCACATCCCTAGAGTCCTTCTGGAACGCCTCCGTTCCAAGATCCCTGCTCGATTTTCTTCACGTTCGAATCTAGAGAAAAGGGGAATTGTCCTTTGCTAAAACGATCGTCGACATGGATTATGGTAATAATCGCATCGCTGGGTTGCGGAATGCCGGGCGGAAAGGGTAGAGCCAGCGAAGGGGCTAAAATCGGACCTTCGTCCGGCTTAAATCGCCGACGAGCCATTCGATGGATCGTGAAAGAAGCGTTTCGTTTAATACTTTGATCTTCTGTCAAAACCGGAACGGTAATTATAGAATATCGGTTCAGCGATTTTTAATCGATTTTTCCTGTTTAAATGTATGCAAAATTTTGGAAAAAGGGATAAAATTTGTAACTGTTGATCTCTGCAAAAATTCGTATTTTTTCGTATATTTTCAGGCTTTTCATTTCTTACGTAGAATTTTGCAATTATTAGATCGGAGAAAATTCTTGCAAACGTGTATCGACAGTTATATATACATAAATATTACAATATACATTTAAATATTATATATTTTTTCCAAAATCCTTGCATGCATTTGGATAAGGAAAATTGATCGAAGATCGTCAAACCGAGGACATTCTATAACTATCCTTCTGAACACGATAGTGGATTCGCGCGGTCTATGGACTTCTTCTTTTCATGATCCGTCGAACGGCTCGTCAGCCGTTTAAATCGGCCGAAGGACAATTTTGGTCCCTTTAACCGGCTACACCCGATTTCGGGCATGCGCGATCGCGCTGTTGGACGAGACAAGAAAAGTGTGTTTTATTTGCAAGGTGACCGCGAGAATGGGAAAAGTGTGAAAGGTCGTACGAGAGAGGACATGTCTTTCTAGAAAACACCACTAGCACATCACATATCATGTACGGCATATCAGATGAGCCACTAGTCTTTATGTAGACTAGATGTAGAACATAGCGGCCATGTTCCCGGATCGCCAGATAGCTTTAGGTACGCACTGAGATCTAGGCATCGTTCGTACAGTTAATTCGTTCGTACGGTCTCACGCGAATAATCAGCTTGGTCTTTCGGATCTTTAGCCCTTTCTCCACAGGTTCATTAGTATCTTCGTATCTTCGATCAGATCAGCAATGCTCAATAGCTTTATTTCTTAAAGGAACAATCTCTTGTTTCTCGTGAAAAATATCCTCACTTATTTATTAACGCTTCAAACCAGATTCTTAATTTAGCAAGTAGAGGATCGTTACTTGTATATATATGCTCTATATTATTTATTATTAGTTTCTAAATTCTCTTACCGAACATTGTTTGGGGAAATTATAAATTACTCTACGTTCTTGGTCTTTTATGATTTTTTACATGTATTAAAACGTAATTAATGTGGTCGTTTTGAGTTGTAGAATTTTTTTACGGTAATTTCATTCTGAAATACGGTTTTATTTACGATATACTAAAATGCTGTCTAGTTTGAATAAGAAATTATTTTCTGAGAATTATTCAGACTCAAATGTCCGATTATAGAAAAATTGATTTTTCAAGATTTGTGTAGAAAATCAATTATCCTAGTGATCCTAATAATTATTTACAAATAACTTACAAATAGATGTATTTAAGTTTGTCTTTATTACTAAAATTATTATTAAATTATTATTCTTATTATCAAAATTATTACTAAAACTATAGAGTCTAATATTGTTATTGAGTACAGAAAGCATTCAATATCGACAGAAGTATTGAACGCGAGCATTGTTAGCGCATACAAATTGCAGTCTGCCCGATGACTCTGAACGTACGAACCAGTATAATTATCCGCGTGAGATCATGTTTTTCCCCTCTTGCCTACGTTTTACGTACAGATGTGCTCTGCCTTGCAAGATCTCTTTCTCGGTGGCAAACTCTTCGTGCCTGGGCCTCGAGGCAACGATCTCCGTCGAGGACGATCCTGGTTGATCACGGTCCTCGTCGATCACGATCCTCTCCGCGATCGTGAATCGAAGCTTCGGGGTTCGCGCCCCTCTCTCTCTCTCTCTCTCTCTTTCTCTCTCTTGCTCTGTGCCTCTCTGACGTCTGTCTCTTTGACTCTCTAAACTTCGTCTCTGTGTTTCGTTCTTGTTCCTCACTGTCTGAACTCGATGTCGGCTCGCAAGATATTCTCGTTGTTTTCCTTCCTGTTGCAACTGGTAGACGTCCTCCATGCTGCTTCGTTGCGTGTTAACATTGTTGATCTCTCCTCGAGTCTGCACAACAAACGCACCCTCTCTCCGCTGCGATCCTCCCTTCGTCTGGTTCCGATTCCCGAGCGGAAAGCTGTCCTTTTTTCTGTTTACAAACGCGACTCTGAACTTCGCACACTCGATGTACATAGCTGTTTCCCTTTTCTTTTAGAATCAGCACGGTAAGTATGTCTGTACGGAGTCCTCTGTGCAACCGCTCTTCGGTGTCACACTACAGGAAACACACGAAAGATTTCAGACACAACATACTATAATGACGCTGCAAACACCTGTTCCTGTTCGTAGTTACCTGCGAACCTGGCTGGCGAACTTCCTGAACAGAGTTTCTGAGTACTCGATTCATCGATGCTTTTATTGCACTCGATTAAACGATTATCATATCGAAGTTAGTCTGCATTTTCAAAATTGAGATTCAAGGATCGCTTCTCTCGATCTTTCCTTGTATTATGCGTAGCCTGCGGACGGTCTGCGCGAGAGGCAACGTGTTAAAAATATGGCAACGCGTGTACAAAATTAAGAATACCTTGGTGACCTTTCGTCGACTAAAAATAGCGAAAGACGTTGAAGAATCGTTACGGGCGCACTCGCTAAAAAATCATTTGCTCGTGTCTCGTGTAGGACTACGGTGCACAAGAGAAATCTGAGAATCGAAATTACAAGAGCATGAAAAGAAAAAAGAAAGATTTGCGAGACTCGATCGCAGTCAAATTTAACAACGTTTCCAATTACCGACTTGCAACGATTGCTTCGAAGACGGAAGTTCGTTCGAGTTTGGAGCACATCCTATCGAGAAAACTTGAGCCGCGTATCGACGAACAGCGGGAATAAAATGCACTGTGAAGCATCGTTGCGGCGGGGAACCAATATCTCGAGCAATGCACCGGTGCACCGAGACGGCTCGATAAGGGTTGCCGGCCAGGTCCGACTCCAGGTGTATTTACTTCTGATTGTTCCTCCTATGTACGATATGTTTCTGTGTGTCCACGTCCTATGGTCCGAAACGAGCGATCCCGTCTGACCGTGGTGCTTTTCTATTTCTCTTTCCAGTGAAACCGATACAGAGGCACTCGATGCAAGATCGATGCGAACTCCAACGTGGTGTGCAGTGAGAAAGGCGTGGTGCCGTACGGTGACATAATAAGGTGTCGGTCGCCGGGCGACACGGGACCCAGTAAACCCAGTGAAGTGGTGAAGTTCGCGCAACCATAAGTTGGTCCGAGCTGAGAACCGCGAGCCGCTCCGATAACCGGGGAACCTAGAACCACCGGATCTCGCGAGACCACCGTGAGGAACGGACACGTTCGTTCAAATCTAAGAAAACAAGAGAAAAATGGCAAAAAAATGGGGATAGGGGTTAAAGGGAGGAACGGAAAAAATTTGTACATAAATAAATCTTAGGACACTCGAGCTGTGTGCCGGCAACCAGTGCACGACGATCCATCGACGACGATCGACGACCAAAATGACGTACCAAAACTCTCCGGACAATGTCGTCGAACATTTTAGCCAAGGGAAACCATCGTCGTCAGCGCGTATATTATTTACTGTAAATACCAATAACGATTATACATACATATATATATTCATATATATATATTACATTAATAAATTCATATATATATATGTATATATATGAATTCGCGATACGTATTGCGCGCAGGTGTTTAAATGAACAATTGCCTTGACCGTCGCGTTCCCGTTGCCCCGTTGCCGTTCGAGCTTCGACAAAGTTCTCGGACCCCCGTTGATTTTTACTAGCACCCGATCGAGACGATCGATCGATCAGTCCGCGTACACGAGCCGGCGAATTCGAGCCATCGGAAGTCGATCGGCAGCCGCGGCAACCGGGACGTTATATCGTGAATTAGCGAATTGTTGTTGAACGTTTAAACGTAGCCATGTCAACTATTTTGCGTGTGCGTGTGCGAATACGAGGAAGAGTGAATGAGAGAGAGGGAGAGAGGGAGAGAGAGGGGGAGAGAGAGAGAAAGAGCGAATGAGAGATCGAGTGCGAGATGAATTACGGTGAAGGAGGCGCGCTAAAACTATATCGACTGTCATATATTGTGATTCTGTTAGTTTTATTTAATTGTCGACCTCACGAGTCCGGTGTAACGCGTAAGGGGACGGGGAGCCGTGTATACAACTCTAGGAGACCTTAATTACTCTCGATACTTGCACTCGACTTTAAAACGACGCTCGTTTTTTGTAACGTGATATATGTATATACATACGTATATTTCACTTGAACGAACCGCCCACATTACTCGCATAGAAACGAGAGAGCCCGCGGGGGTGGAGACCTCGCGGCGCGTACCACACTGCTGAAGTTAATCCTTTAAACAAAATGAGAAGCGAGTGCTCTCGTTCGCGAAACCTGCGATCGGGAGAGTATGCGTCTGATCGAGAATTCGTGAGAATGTGAGACTGAGTGTGAGAGAGCGAGCGAGCGAGAAAGAGAGAGAGAGAGAGAGAGAAAACGAGAAAGATAGAGAGAGAGAGAGAGAGAGAAAGTGTGAGAGTAACCGGCGCGCCACGTATATTTCACAATCGAATTTTATATCTCTTAATTCTCATGTTATGTGTTCGATCTTTGTCTGTGCATTCGTCTGGTCACTCGTGGAACACGATACGATGAGCATGCACGTGTACGCGGTTACGTCTAGCGATTAAACACTTGATTGAATCGTGTACGATATACTATATTTTCTCCTTTTTTTCGTCGCTGATTGTGCTTGCAAAACATGCGTAACCATGCATTCTTCTCTTCGGGGGTAAAGAAGAACACGTGAACACACATACACACACACATATACCGACACGCATACACGCGTACACACGGAAATACACACAGAGAGTGAGGGAGAGAGACACGTGTACACGCAAGAAGGGAAGGGACAATGACACGAAAAAACCGTTCGAAGTTGACTGTACATCGAAAAACAAGAAAGGGAAACACTGTTTCGCGACCAATTTAAACCGTAGCTACGCTTCCGGATCGTTCAAGTTTACCGCGAGACATGCGGACGCCCTCTTTCGCAGCTGAGCATTTAGTTCGATCCCTCGAAAGGACCCATCCATTTTACAATTTATCGCCGGAGAAGTTGCGAAACTTTCCGCGAACGATCCTCGTAAAGTGTACGGACCCTTTGCGCCGCTTCGCTCCTCGTTTGTTGGTCTTCAAAGGTACCCACCTGGATATTGATCGACGTCACTGAAGCGATGGACTCCATCATTTCTTTTTACGGGGGTGATAATCTGTAACGTCTTTCTTTCGCTTCGTTCGCTATTCCGTGGCCGGAAATAGGGCTCGAGCTTGTTGCGATTCGTGGACGAGCTGCAGATCGTTCGCACCTCGTCGTCCTCGCTGGAACTTAAAAAATGGGGACGATCTAGCGTATAGAAAACGTTTCCGTTGAAATTTCGATTTCCAATAATTATAGGCATCGATTCAAGCAATTGTAGACATAAATTCCAATAATTGTAAGCCTGACCAGCCTACAAGAATCACTGAAAAGAAGAATCACTTGAAAAGAAGCCGAGATTTTCCTGCTGCGAAAAACCGACGCCAATGGCTCGTCCACTAATCGCAATCTGCTGATCCGGCGATCTTTCGTCGCGGTAGATCTGCTAAAACAATGAAAATATCCGACGAACACGGTGACTTAAAATGAAACGGCGGAATTAATTAATCGGCGAACGAGAATTTTCGATCGTATTAAACGAATCGGAAGATTCTAACGGGACAAAGACGGTTTTCAAGTGACTCCGGATCGGGATCAGTGACTTCAGCATCGATATCTTCGAGAATCCAGTCCTTTCGCTCTGTAAAGCATCCTCACTTTTGCTCGCCTGTGCATCCTGCAAACGCAGCTCGCTATTGCCACGCGAACCGTCACGAGATGTTGCGTAACAATCGTTCGAGAGACACGGTGATCCGAGGCTTTGAAAAGACGAAGGAAGAATGCGAACGGTTATTCGATTTACAGAACGACCAAATACCGAACGACCTCATTATCTGAATCAGAAATCTCGCTTGCACGTTTCTCTTCGTTTCGTTTTACTTTGCGATCATTCCTAACACCATCTGCTGCGAATTTTGTTTCTCAATAACGAAATCATCGTCATCGTCATCGTTATCGGTGCACAATTAAAATTGTCGTAATCGCTCGTAAGATCGAGAGATCCTTAACAATGGAACCGTAGGCATTCAGAATCGAATAAACGTAAAACAGTAGGGAATGCGTTGCCGATCGTTGTTACCAGACTGCGGATCTTCGTGCAAAATAAAAATCGTTAACGTCGATTGCATATTCTTCCAAAGTTCTCTGCGTTCTGTATTTCACTTTCTCGTTGTTATCGCGAACGCATAAAATTCGCGGTCGAATCGATCGCATACATAGAGTTCTCGTTTCAATGTTCCGTCTACATTCGCGCGTTCCTTTCTCGTCACGACGATCGCTCTGTCGCTTTGAGTTTCAAAATCGTCGCTTTGAGTTTCACAATCGCGCGAGCCGTTCGGTAAACCGGCTGATCGATCGCCCAATGATCGCCGCGAACTGTGTAAAAAGAAAGAAAAAAGGAAAGGGGGAGAGGAGCCGGGAGGGTGGAGGGCGATATCTTATCATATCTATAACGCGCTTGATTTAGAACGAAAAGCTTTTTTACTCGCGGGGAAATGGTATACACAGGCGAACACACACTCGCGCAACGAACCCGACGCGAAGGTTGCGTGCGCGTCGAGAGAGAAAACGATCGCGCGAGGCGAGTCACATACACGCGGAAAACGAACAATTTACTTACTGTAAGAGACGATTTCTAAGTAAAGACGAGAAAGAAAAAACCATTTTGCAAGTGCATGACTTATAATCAGTAGGCTCTTGGGACAATGACAACGTAATTAACCGAACACGCAGAATATACTCTCTGTACTAGCGGATAACACTCGATTTAAAAAGAGATAAGAAAAAAAAATGACAAAAAAATATATACAAAAGACTACGAATCATGTAAACACGTTCAGTTTGTAAATCCGCCGGTTACTCGCGGCCCTCGGACCCGCCGCGCGATCTACCCGCGATCCTGGATCACCGGTTTCCTCGTCTTTCAGCGATTAACCGACGTACAATTACCACGATGAAGAACCTCGCCGCGATTGGTCCAAAAACTAGAGGCTCGGATTTATCGGGTTTCGATCCACGTGAAGTCGAACGATCGATTTTGGGGCACAAAAAACGTCTGATAGACGCGCGGGGGTCCCGCGGCCGCGACCTGTTAACGCTTAACGATATAAAAAAGTACCGCATATCCTATACAGACGTAGGACTCTCATAACTTTAGTAGCCGGTCTTAAGGGATCCCAGGGACGTGAGAGTGTCGGGTTTGCTTTTTTATACTTGTACATCGAGGAACGAGCTGATCAGAGCGGCTTTGCCCGGGGGAACGTCGGTGAAATTCTCGTAGTAAGTTTCGCTAGTGATCTTTTAGGGGATATCGATACCACACACGACGAACACAGATGCATGATGATTCTACACACCGGTGAGCTGGACGACGAAATACCGATAGATAGAGAGAGAGCGAGAGTGAGAGAGAGAATGAGAGAGAGAGAGAGAGAGATACGTTTTATCGAGTTTATGTTCGACGCGAGTTCTGCCTGATTTACGCCTTAATTTTCTTCGCGGTTCCAGCTTTCGTGTAAACATTGTAAATATCGGATTAACGTCGACGAACGAACGCGAACGAATTTATTTCGCACGATCGACCCTCATACGCTCCTCCATTTTCTATTTTGGATACCGTAAAGTATGTAATTCGTTTCGCATACGATTGCGTTGCGATTCAAGTGCACTCGCTTGGCACTCGCGCGCGGTCTATTCTAATTTCAACGTATAATCGCAGGACTCTCCGTAATTAGCGAGACACGCGCCTGTTTTCGTTCTCGAGAAAGAAACATAATTTCTGTTCTACATTGAAGGTCTTCATGGTCAAAAGTGGCCATTATACAGAATTCACTGCAACGATGATATTATAACATTTTATAAGTTAATATTGATCATCCCGTTTCATTTACTCGAACATATTTCATCGTCGTATGGAGAAGTATAACGTGCGGAAAGAAATGTGCTTCACTGTTCTAAGATGTGATACTTTCCTCACAAATGTGAAAAGTAATTTTCTAACATTATAATTAAATCAATAAATATTAATGAATAACATTGTGCTTGTTCTGAAATGATTTATTTGCGTGCGATCTAAATGCTCGAAGCGACCACGAAGACCTTCAGCGTCGTTTCGACCCTTGACCGGTCACCTGCCATCTTGGAGACTGTTCCATCGACGAGCTCGTTTCGATTTCGAACATTGTATCTGTCCCGGAATCAATGAGAGAACGATTAGTCTCTTTGAGAAGCTCTGCTGATCTGTTTACTTTGTTCACTTCTTCCAAAGATCGCGCGACCGGTTAAGAGTTAATTGAACGAAAGCCGTGCGAGGATGAAAAACCAGAGGGAGAACCTAATTGGCCGAGTCAAAGGGTGAAAATGAAAACTGTGCAACGACATTTCGGATAGTTGTTTGCGAGGAGTGTCCGAGGGCCGATCGGAATAGTCTGTGAAACCGTACGGGGCGCAACTGTAAATATTGGGTAAACGATATCGGGGCGAACGGGTGCGGCGGAGGGTTAGTAAAATTTCAGATTATCCTCGTGTAATATTCGAGTAGCGATCTAGGGGTCTCGTTTCTATTTTCTCCGTAGATACAAGAGCTTTTTCTAAGCCGAACAACGACGCAACCATCTCTTAAGCGGTCTTTCCCATGAAAGAGAATAATCTCGAAACACCGGAACTGAACGCGAAGAGAATCAAGGTGACGTTCATTTTTCATCCCACAACCACACTATTGCCATGCCCATCTGTACATAGGCATGCTCAATCTTAGGATCGAACACGCATCGTGAATCACATATATATATACATACATCTCTATACATATATATGTATATATATATATATATATATATATATATATATATATATGTATATACATATATGTATATATATGCATATACATAAAAAGAAACTAGCATTAACTACGAAAGAAGAGGAAGAAGAAAAAAAAAATGAAACGAACAAATTAATATCCGACTTTGTACCTATATACTTAATAATTAACGTAAAAAACGAAAACGAAAAGATGGGCGAGAGGCGAGAAAGAGAGCGAACGAACGAGCGAGCGAGAGAAAGAGAGAAAGATAGTGCGCGAGGGAGAGAAATATAATACTTTCGGGAATACATCCGCAAAGTAGCAGCGAATCGCGAGGGGTGGGGTTCGAGGAGGCGGGGGAGTTAGCTAGAAGAAGCGCGGTATAATCGAATCGGGTTGGATCGATTCGTGGGTCGAAATCGCGGGACGGACGGCTGAATTCGAATCAACACGGGATGCAAGGAATCTGCGAGCCAAGGGGTAACACTTTTGTCAAATTTATATAGAGAGCCAATTTAGGTTTTACGATTACCGATAAAAGGATGCGCGAGAGACTGAGTGCGAGAACGGAGAGAAAAAGAGAGAGAGAGGGAGAGAGAGAGAGAGACGGAGGGAGACACGTGGAAGGACACTGTCAACGATTTCTTTACAATGAAACTCATTAATCACACCGTAGAAGCGATCCAACGTAGCGCTGGTGTCCTGCGGAGCTGTGTCCACGTCCGTTGTCGCGCCTCGTTCCGTTGCCACGTTTTCTTAACGAATCTAGACGTAATGTTACTAATTATACACTTTTCGGTTCTTGGGAAAATGGTGAAACGTTAGATCGATGACAGATTGAATTCGATGAAAAATCGTAGCCCCGAATCGAACCTCGTTGCAACCTCGACGAGATCAACGGCAACGAGATCCGGAAGAAATATGGCCACAGCTTGATCTTGCGGTCGATCGCGATCGATGTTCAGGTTTCGATCTGTCTGACGGGGGCTGTCCTTCGGAGAATTCGGGCAAAGTTCGTTGTCGCGGAGGTTCGCTTTGAAGCCCGGAAGTCTCGAATTTTGACAAGGATTCGCCGAGATCGAGTGGTGAAAGTGGAGATCGAGCGGCGCGATCGACGCGGAGGATCGATCGCAAGATGGCGCAGGACACCGGGAGTTTCACGGTACACCGGGGGTGAAGATGAATTGTTCGGGACGCGGTTCGCCAGTAGCTTATTAGCGGCCAGCGGCGGTAAATTGTCCGGTTTTTCATTTTGCCGATAGAATGAAAGAAAGAGAGAGAGAGTAAGAGAGAAAGAAATAGTATGAGAGGAGAGAGAAAGAGAAAGAAAGGCTGGAGAGCGTGGCCGGGAGAGAGACCGCGTCCTTCTTACGTCGAACGGGGCAACGGATAGAAACAAAACGAGAGAGAGAGAGAGAGAGAGA